GAGTTCCTGGCACCCAGTGGCCCAGGAGCAGCAGCAGCACCTGGGAGGTGGCCTCCCTGTGGGTGTGAGGACCACAGGTGTCCAAAGACCGGGGGCCTTGTCCATTTTCCAGCACTGCTGCAGGCACCGAGCTGAGGTGTCTGGCACAACTGCGACAGGCCTGCCTGTGTCCTAGGACCATCCCTTACTCAGCAAGTGGGCTCTGTGGATGGCAGCTGAGGTGTGGCAGACATTCGCTGTAGTGGGAGCAGAAAACCTTGGTCGGGGCGTGGATGTCAAGTGAGGGGGGCAGCAAGCCACACTGAGTGTCTGAGCTGGTGCTGCACCACTTACCATGAACCATGGTATTAATCTCATTATAATCCAGCTCTACAGATGAAGAAACTGAGGCACAGCGAGTTTATCTCCTCATCACGGCCACCCAGGCGCTCCTTTCCTGTTGACCTCAGTACCTGGCAGGCGGCTGTTTGCCATGGCCCCTCCCACAGTGTTGATCCCCTGTCCACTGTGCATCAGACACTGGGCTGACCTGACCTTCCTGAAGCTCACCTGATCCCCACCCAGATGACACTGTGCTGTGGCAGGTGATCTTAGGGGAGGAAGGTCAGTCTGCCAAGGCCCTGGGACCAGCACCAAGCTCCCCTGACAGTGATGTCTTTGATAGAGCTCAGCCCTTCCCTTTATTGACACATCTGTTGTTATCCCTGCTCTCCACTGGCCATTTTGCCTCTTCACAGACCTTGCCTGGGGTCACGTCCTCACACTAGTCAGCGCAGTGAGAAACAGTCTACGGAGAAAAAAAATCAAGACTGAGTGTGGGGAGAGGGATGAGAGGCCCGACAAAGCCCAGGGGCCCCAGTTAAGAGGAGGGAGGCCGTTCACTCTCTTAGAACTTGGTAGACTACAGTTTACCATTTACCACACGTGTGTGAGGGGTTCATTTTCATGAGTGACTTGAAAGCAGATCCTTCTAGAAATAACCAAGGAAAAAATTCCCAAATGCTTAAATTTTTCTCTACCTTTAAAGCCAGATTTCTGTCTGACTCGGGAGGCTGCCCCAGGGGGCTTCTCCAGGAGTTTCAGAGCATCTGGCTGAGGGCCCCTCGAGACTCAGAGCCGACTGAGTTCAGGAAATTAGCGTCTTTGCTGTGTGCCAAGAGTTTTCCAATGGCTGGGTCTAGATCCCGCTTCCATTACTGTGGGCACCCTACGCAGGGCTGTCAGTCCCCTTCCACTCTGGAGATTCTGCAGCAGCCTCTGCAGACCCCAGAGCCCTGCCGGAATGTCCTCTCGGGTCCCACTGTATCGCATCTGGCAGTCCCTCCTCCCTCTGAGCTCGGGATTCCCATGAAGTCCCCCTTGGTCTGTGCTCCACCTCCCAACTCTTCACCCACATTTCAGAATCAGAGGTTCGGACATGTGTTCCAAAATTTGTTTTTATTCCCTTGTGTTCCTAACGAGAACACCCGACACATCCAATGTCTAAAACTTTTCAAAAATTTTTCAAAGGCTATTACTCGTTCCTTGCCACTGGTAACTTTATTACACGATCAAATTTATTATTTTCATCATCTGATGAGCTGACATTTGGTCAGTCTTTGAATTGAAAAAAAGAATATGATAAAGCCAGAAATACTTGTTCTGTTTTTAAGCTAACGCAGTTTGGGTAAGTTTACCTGTGTGAGAGTACTAGCTGTGGAGTCCTAGGTAATTAAGTTACTTGGTAATTAGACCGGCCCTGCTGGAAGGAGGGGCAAATTCCCTGACATAGCAGCCTGGGCAGGAGAGTCCCCAGTGTTCCAGTCACTGTCCCTGGGCCAGCACGTGATAAGGCCCTACGTAATGACAGGATGATTTTGGAAGCCAGTAATGTCTTCATTAATTCTTCAGATTAATTCTATGTCCTTTGGCACAGTACTAGGCCTGATAGGTCCAGGGGAAGCAGGAGATGCAACCTGACGTTAGCCAGACTTCGGATTCTGTCCCCCACACCCAGCCATTAATAGTAACACCTATTTCAGACCTATGATTTTCAAACCTTTTTTTAAAGACACAGAACCCATCTTTCACATATTATAAGGAATCCAAATCTATAAAATGGCTAAGACCAGAGCTTCTGATCTGGTCGAAGAGTGGGTACATGAAGTCTCAGCACCTATCCTCTCTGCTGACAGCGTGTTGGAGTGAGGGGTGTGGACGGTAAATAGAAAGTTTTCTGGAGTCACTGCCCTTTGAAATGGCAGTTCAGCAATGCCCACTGCTCTGCCTCACACTTTTGAGAGGGCCTGGCACATAGTAGGTACTGAAAAAAATGTTAATATAGTAAATAAGCAAATGAAGTGTTTGTCTTGGGTCTACTTGATAATGAAACAAAACCTTTTTGTGGTCTGGGTCAGGAGTGTCAAACTCATTTTCACCAGGGGCTACATCAGCCTCATGGTTGCCTTCAAAGGGCTGAATGTAATTTTAGGACTGCGTAAATGTAACTACTCCGTAACAGGTGAGAGATTGGCACTGCGACCAAGTAGAAACAAGGTACCAGGTTGGATTGGGCCCGAGGGCCTTGTTTGCCACCTGTGCTCTAGGGCAACAGCAAGCCACAGCCAGTCAGCCAAACCGGTCCACGGTCTGATTTTGTCAATGTCTTATCAGCATACAGCCACACTCACGTGACATCATGGCTGCTTCCATGCTGCCAGGAGAGTGAGTCGTTGCGGCAGGGGCTGGATGGCCACAAAGTCCAGTGCGTGCTGGGTGCAGGAAAGTCTGGGGTCCAATGTGCAGGCGGCTGGGCTGCGAGGCCGATTCCAGTCACTCAGTGTTGCAAAGCCCAGAACGCCCCTTACCTCACAGCAGTGGGCCGTCAGAAACAGAAGGGGCGTCACCCACCAGTGAGTCCAGACCCCTTCTTTCATCGCCGGGGAGCAGACTCTCATTTATAAACGCCTGCTGTTGACCGGGCTCGGTGCTTAATGTAGGAGACCATTCTGCATAGCGTGGGCCCAGCCCCCAGTGGCAAACATTTACTGCAAAGTAACTTCCTAAAATCCATGCTAAACCTTCCAAGGACCAGTGTAAGCGGTTCAACCACTTTTGCCTTTTCATTTGTAAATATCCCTCTTCTGTGATGTGATTAGAGGCATTGGCTCCTTTGTTTGCTGTTAAAGGTAACCACCTAAAGCAACCCGTGCATAGTGAATGAGGACCTCCATGTAATGTGGGGAGAAACCCAATAAAGGCCTGTCATGGCAGAGGGCCTCAGCTTTTTCTTCCCTTGAGAAAAAGCCATGCTGTCCCTTTTCCTCCAGTGCACTTGATAGTCTGTGTGAATGTCTCATGTCATCCATAATGATGCGGACACTGAGAGCTGGTGGCCGCATCACTTCAGTCTCACAGTGTGAGGTGAGTGGTGATCTGTCACCTTCAGACAAGGACAAGAGGGTGAGGGACACTCAGCTCTGCTTGGTGGCTGAGTCCAGGGCCTGAACCCGGGGTGTTCACCTCTCAAGTGCACCCACATTCTGCCATTCTGACAGCATCCTTTCCCTGACACCCAGTTATCTGATCCCTGTCTTCTGCTTGTAGTATCACTAAATGTGTGGTGAGCTCCTGGTGGTACCACACTGACCCAGACGCTAGGCCACAAGGCACGAGTGAGGCCCACACGATCCCTGCTGCCCAGGGTCCCAGACAACTGTTCCTGTACTGCACCGTTGATACAGGGTGAAGTCAAAGGGGGGGGGGGTGCAAAAAAAGATTTGGAATGGTGTCCAGAACTCAAAATATATAGCAATATTAGAAAGACATATAAGATGTCCTCCCCCCCCCCCACAGGTGTGAGTTGGGGGAAGGGACACATGGAGCATAAACATGCAGGGCTGTTTTGTACAGCCACAGCCTTGCAGCTAGTCCACGGCATGGCCATTTAACATATCTATAGCCTTTGGCAGGTCACTTGGATATGTTAAATGGCTGTGGCCAGGCTTGGAGCTAGGGGGATGAAGGGACTTCCCCCCAAGATGTAACTGGGGGCAGGTCCCCCAAGTTACAGCACCTGCGTGGGAGCGTGGAGAAGATTGGCTCCAGGACATCGGGCGATACCTGCCCAGACTAATGATGGCAGCCCAGTAAAGCTGGGAGGGTATGAGAGTTCTGGCAGGAGTAACTGATTATAGGAGTAGTCGGAAATGGGGCCACAAAGGAGGATGGGTATGGAGATTTAAACTGAGACATGGCAGCCATTGGAGAGAGAGCCACGTGTTTCAGTGAAGTGAGGATCCCCTCTTGGCCAGGTGAAGGGAGAGCCATGCGGTTTTGGGCAGAGTGAGGATTCCCTCTTTCCCATGTGAAAGGGAAAACCACGCAGTTTGGCCAGAATGGAGATCCCTGCAGCCAGGTGAAGAAGAAAGCCACATGCTTTTGATGGAGTGTGAACCCCTGCAGCTTTGGTAGAAGAGGCCCACGCAGTTTTGGGGTGCCCCCTATGGCCACATGGCCTGGAAAGCAGGAGAGACTTTGACTGGAACTTGGTACAAAGGACTCTTGCCAGTGGACCATGAGAGGGGACCACAGTACTTTGGATTAACTAGAGATCCTGCCTGACACAGCTGATGGTGCCAGCAGCCTGAAAAAGGGACGTGTGCTCTTTTCCTGATTTACGGTACCCAGAGTTGGGACAGTGGGAGAAGGGAGAGCTGTGTGGGTGTAGGTGTATACCCTAAAGGACTTTGATAGTTTAGTGGAGGTGTTAGGCCTGAATAGCATTAAATAAACATTTTGTTTCCTTTTCACAAATCTCTGGCATTGAGAGATGTCTTTCCAATTGGCGGTGGACAGAAGAGCCCAGTAGATATTAGTATTCTGTCCTTGGGAGGGGCCCCTGTTGTGTAGCAGTTTTTGGCTACACAGGTGGGCCCCAGGTGGGCCAAATATTGCACACCCCCCCCCCCCACCGACCTCTTGTTCGGTAACACCGTGACTACCACCCTGTGCACCAGAGGGTGCTTGGAGAAGCCGACAGCAAGAGGACAGGTGGAAGGCAAAGCTGGCTCCCACGCTGGGAGCCCCGGAAGGGAGATGCCAGACTGAGGCTTTGGCCCAGAGAGCCGAGGTGGGAGAAGGCTCAGAACCCCAGGACTGTGTGAAGGGCAGATGGCCAGAATGGGCTGGAGGGTAGGGACTGTGCAGAGGGGGACTGGCTGGACCCGGTCCACGAGACACTGATTTCTGTCCAAAGCTAGCACCCCAGTGAGTTAATCCGTCTCCAGGGAAACAACACTGGACTCTCACCCAACACTCTCCTGCATGAACCAAGCACTTGTGTTTCTGGTTCTCTTGATACCTGGAGCAACTTTTCATCCCCCCTCTGCCAGTTCCTGTCCCACCATGTCCGTAAACCAGGTGGGGACTGTCACAAGCCCTGTGTGTGACCTGCAGATCCTCCCTCCCACACGAACCACTTCCTCATTGAGAAGAGACTTTTCAGTACAGTGTGGGTGGGCGGGCATCAGTCCATTTAATAGCTGAAGGGTGTCAGTAAATGTATGTGACTTGGCCTTCAGGGAGTGGCGGGAGAGCCAGCTGGGAACCTCTTTCTTCGTGTCCAAGTCCCTGCACAGAAACAATTGCCTCATCCCTCGTTCCACCATTTCCTAAAATTGTTGACACCATGTGCTGTGGGGGCCATGCCTGCCTGGTGCCCTGGGATAGCACTGGCTCTCCTGGTCCCAGGCCCTCTGTGGTCCTTGCTGAGAGGGTGGCACGAAGGAATGAATTTGTCATCTCTCCCCACTGCCTCAGCCCTGACGGTCCCTAATCTAGACACGCGGCCCTGGAGGAGGAGGAAGAGTCACATATGGGTGGGGACAGGTCCAGAGCAGGGGCAGGTGGGGCGCTGCCACGGGGGCCGTGACGGTGCTGGGGTCTGGCACAGGAGCATCCTTCCCACTGTCACCATGACAGAGGCCTGGGGCCCTCTTTGTGGCCCTCTGGATCCTGGGCGCAGGGCACGACACGCCCAGTCTGGGCACCTCTGGTACCTTCCTCCTTGAGGACCGTTAGTTTCTTGAGCTGTGACACCAGGCTGGTGTCCCTGATGACCTCAGGGCCGCTCTGTTGTGAGGACGCCCAGAAGCCTGTTCCTCCCACTGCCCTAGCACTGAGGCTTCACCTGCACAGCTGGCCTACTGGGTGCAGCACTACCTGCCAAGGGACTGAAGGGAGGCAGGGGAGGGCGGGGGTTGGGGAAGGCACCAGAAACACTTCCCCAGTAACTGCCTCGCGGTAGCCTGACAGTGCTGCTGCCTACTCATTTTTAGAATCCTTTGTCCTTTGCTCCCTGACCAGGGCAAAGCTCCCAAGGCAGCCCAGTCTTGAGCACCCGCACAGACTGAAGGCAGGATCAAAGACACGAGTCCTGAGTCAAAAGTACACTGCAGAACTACTGCCCTCCAGGGGCATATAAATGTCAAGGCTGGTGTTTCTGCCCAGAATGAAAAGTAAAAATCCAAATGACTTCACATTCAAAAGCACTGTTGCTGAAGGCTCAATAATTCATTTTCTTGAAGTAAAGGCCATTCAATACTTTGAGTGCAGCCTCTGACGGGGACCCCACGTGCACAAGCCATCCCTGCGCAGAGGAGTTAGGACTTCACAGTCTGAGTGGGGCCCCGTCCGCTCTGGGTGCAGAGATCAAATGCGTCTGAAGTGACACGGCCGTCAGGAGCCGCCTGCATCAAACCACCGCTGTCATTTACTGCCTTTGCAATTCTATCCAGATGTCAGGAGGGCTGAATGGAAGTACAAACGAGGCAGGAATTTTGTAAAGTCCACGTGGGTGTTAAAGCACCAAAAGTAACATGGTACCCAACACCCCCAAATAAAACTATAAACATGAACTCTGAACAGAGTCAGAGGAGACAGCAAGACGCCACGGCTTCAGAAGTAGCTCTGGAGCGGCTCTCCCAGGACAGCTTCCAGTCGCTGAACAGTCTTTTGGCACTGACGTTCCACTTCTTCACATTCGTCTAAAAATCGGAGTAAGATGAGTCAGACTTCCTGCCCCGATTCCTCCCCTCCTGCCTCCACTCGTCTTCCACCTCTGAGGCGCCAGGACACAGAGGGAAGCCATCAGAGCAGCAGAGGGTACCCATGAAGTCTCCCCATTCCTCCTGCCTTAGATTTGGAAACCGAGTAAGAGAAAACCCCCAAACAGAAGCACCGACACGACAGGTCCCAGTTCCTAGTGATGCCACACTCCAGGTTTCAGAACCAAAGGTTGACGTACTCTGTTTGGTAAGTGGAGGATCACGTGTATATCAGTGTCGGCCCACCTGCCTCCACCGCCCTGCTTAACACTCAAGTCGGGCCGATCACTGTCTCTCACCACGTCCAGGCTGCACACACCGAGACTTCCACCCAGTTCCAGCTGCCACACTTACTCTTAGTTTATTGAATTACTTAATCCCCTTAGAGTCTCCAGTTCCTTCCTGTGTAAGACAGGTAATGGCACACCCCATGCTGAGGACGGCAGGGCCATCCCCGCACAGCACGGAGCGAACACTGGCCGCCGTAAACACGGAGCCAATTCCGTGCAGCCCTAAGGACCCTAGACATTGTGATGTAAGAACCCTGCACCCGCGGACCAAGTTACTCACATGTGGGATGAAGTGAAAGGAAAGGTCATTCTGAACCGCCCCCCCCACCCTTACTCAAGACAGGAATTCAGCCCCCATCTTGCAGTCTGCACCGGGAGCAGGCAGAGGTCCTGGGTCCAGGGCTAACGACACTGTACCCACATCTGCACTAAGACTAGGCACGTTTTCAAGGAACTCCACTGTAATTACTAATTCCCAAACAGGTACCTTCCATCAGTTCAGCTAAGAAAGGAATGGACTCTGGTAGCAGGACGATGTAATTCTCCTTCAGCGTCTCAGCCAGCGCTAGCACGGTGATCAGGGCAGCAAACCGAACCTGAGGGCGTTAAAGGTGAAGGTTGATATACACGTACTGCTTTACTCATTTCCTTAATACGTAACTCGACACAAGCTCTTTAAACTAACTGTTCTTTCACGAGTTTATTTCAGTTTGTGTCCATCCAACATTTGCCTTAGGAGAGCAGTTCACTTCACAGGTTGGGACCTGTCCGTACCACAGGCAACCTGACCTACGTTCCAGCACCTCAGGCCTTTAACTTGAAGGCGTTTTAGAACGCTTTCCTTTGAAAAACAAGGAAATAAAATGCCAAGTAGAAAAATTATGTCATCCAACCTGACTGCCCCAGAGCGCACCGGCCTGCCTTGCTGACAGCTGATGCCACCCTGGCAGGACAGTGTCCCCGCCATGTCAGGAGGGCCTGCCCCGGAGCCCTGACTGGGGTGTCCTGCAGTTGTGTGAGGGGCCGGGTTACTGGCTCGGGTCACGCTCTCATCTCGGCACTGAGTGAAAAACACCCTCTTTGTGTTACATAAAGTTTGGGTGTTTCTCACAACGTGACTGTGACAAGGAACACAAACAGCTGTTTGGTTGTGTTAGTGACTCATGGAGTACAAGAATGTGCCAGCATTCTGACTGTGGATAATTTAAGGACTATTTGGGTACAGCAAAGTGAGTTATTCAAATGACACTTGTAACTAGGTATGTTCAATCAGGATTTTCTTAATATTGTGCAAATAAAACAATAAATTTAATGCAATTTTGTAGGAACTTATAATTTAGAATTTGGGGCTTCACCAAAATAGCCTCATTGTTCTCATTTCCTAATAAATAAATATTAAATTCTGCTTTGTTGTGACTTCTCCACTGAGGTGCTAGGAGGACTACTAGTTGGAGAAATGGAGATTCAATGTGGAGCCCTGCCCCTCTGAACCCCCACTGGTCAGTGGGTGTCGGTAGCCCCCCACCTTTGTTATTGTGAGGGACCCTAAGCCTGAGGCATGGTGGACATGGACACTGCCCTCCCTCAGAAGGACGTCTGGGGACGAGCACAGAGCACTTGTCTCAGGGAGCACAGTGACACCCGGAGGAGTTAAAAAAGTAGGAGGAAGCACTTTAAGTCTTTCCGAGATTTCAAAGCCCACATTTAGAAGGTGTCTGAGTGCCTGCGCCACATGCGCCACGGGGGAGGGAGTGCTGCTGCTCGTGAACGACCTAGAAGTAAAGCCAGAGACCTCAGGCGCAAGCGTCTGTCTACCACAGCCCAAAGTCTGGTCTCAGACTAGCAGCCCAGTCTGTCCCACCAGTTACCACGGTCGCACAGCTGTGACAGCGTCATGGCTGTCTGGGCACCGGTGCTGGATGCCCGCAGCTGCTGACCTTGGGTGAGGAGTCTCTGGTCTTCAGCAGAATCTGGTAGTTGAGTGGTTTCCAAAGAGAGTCATCGGCCATGGCCACTGCGAACTGGGAGATGCACGGCGTCAGGTGCTCGGTCACCCGTTCCTGGAACTTCTCTTCCCCTCCCAGCTCATTCTCCAGCTGTTAAGAGTGAGAAATGGACTCAGCAACAGGGCTGATTCCTGTCTGAGAAAAAACCCAATGTGTATAAATACTGTTTTGGCCCTGGCTGGTGGAGCTTAGTGGACTGAGAGTAGGTTGTGATCCAAAGGGTTATAGGTTCTATTCCCAGTCAGGGCACATGCCTGGGTTGCAGGTCAGGTGCCAGTGGGGACCATGTGAGACTCAACCACGCACTGATGTTTCTGTTCCTCTCATTCCCCCTCCCTTCCACTCTCTCTAAAAATAAATAAAATCTTAAAAAAAAATTCCCAGTCCTGGCTGGTGGAGCTCAGTGGACTCAGCACGGGCCTGCGAACCACACGATTCTGGTTTGATTCCCGGTCAGGGCACATGCCTGGGTTGCAGGCCAGTTCCCAGGAGGGGACTCACGAGAGGCAACCATACATTGACATTTCTCTTCCGCTCTCCTTCCCTTCCCCTCTAAAGATAAATAAATAAAATCTAAAAAAAAAAAATCCTAGTATCCTTTATGACACTCAAAAACCATGTCCCATTCAAACATTCTGGCCATGCAGTGGCGCTCATGGGGACTCCGCAGCCCCTGGGGGCCCCTCCCTCCAGCAGATCCTCTGGGAGCTGTTCTTCCAAGGTGGCCGTGACCTCAAACGTACTTGATGGAACCAGTTCTAAAAAAATTAAAAACTTAACCACTAGACCTTACATTATGCCTTTCATTTGAAAATTCAAATGTAAATCCATAAAAACGAGAAATCAATTTTGAAATAAAATTTGTATAAAATAAGAAACCCACACCCGGAGGGGGGAAAGCGGGGGAAGGGGAATAATTCCGCAGTCAGTCTAGTAGGTCTGAAACCTGCAAACACACAATGGTGGCGGCTTCCTCATCTGATAGGATTCGTCTGGTTACCTGATCCACCAGAGGCGTCATCAAGGCTTCTGCTCTCTCTTTACTTAAGAAATGCTGGGTGTCAAAAAGGAAAATTTTATATAAACAGTCCAAAATAAACTGTAAGAGCAAGCAGCACTTCTCAGGATCCTTTTCAGAGTCAAAAAACGCTTCATCTGTAAGACGGGAGAGAGTAAAAATGGAAAAAAAAAAAAAAAAGAATAAGAATTTCACAACTGAATCTCCAAAGTTTAGCCCGATCTAGAACGCAGGCTCAGGATGAAGGCAGAACACAAGGGGGAGAGTCTCTCAGATGAGCATCCTTCCTCAGAGCTCAGCCTCGGGCTCGGCTGTGAATCCCTTAGTCTGGCTACTTCAGTGACAAGTATGTCAACCGAGTAGTTCATCTGCATCAGCGCAGCAGTCTTAGTTTGAATGTGTGGAAGGCACCTGTGGTAACTTGGAGCACCGCCCACTCTGTTCTTTCTTCCGGCGAGGCAGGGACTTCACGACTGTGTCACCGGGCTACCACAGACACCCGAGGCCCAAGAGCCCACTACAGAATGGAACCCACACCCCCATTACACTCACTGTGCTTCTGAGCCTTGGGGGAGGCCCACAGACCAAGGTGTCATCTGCACTGGAGTCAGCTACCAACCTGTTTTAGAGACGTTCACCTGGTTCAAGGTGTCAGCGAAAGGCTTCACTAAGTGGCCAGCGAACAGAGTAAACAGCCCTTTCAGTTTTCCAGCAACGCAATCCGCCAAGTTGTAAAAGGTCAGCAGCCTGTCCTTTGGGGCATCCTCTGTCTTAGCCCAGTCAAACAGCTACAAAGAAAAAAATCACAGGACTTCGTTCCACACATCTTGTTGCTCACAGAGAGTGCAAAGGAGGCGTGGAGGAAGGCAGCTTACCTTGAAAAACAGGGGTCTGAACGTGACTTCGGAAAGTTTTACAACCATAGCTACCAGGCAGTCAATGATACAACTTTCTGTCTTTCCAACTTCTTCCAGATCACTCTGAAAACAAAACGGGTGACTCGATAGGCGGGGTTCTGACTTCTAGCTCTAAGTAATTTTGGTCACACACCCAGTTTTTCTCTGGCCCTTAGCAGACAAGTTTAGGATTTGGAGGAGTGGAAATAAACTGACCTCAGGGTGCTGTGCTCGGAAGTCCAAGGCCTCCAAGAAAAACGTGGTGAGCTGAGGCTGATGGGAGGCAAGCTCCTCCTTCCTCATGACCCCGATGTGCTCCTGCAGGATGCTCATGAACGGGCCCATGTGGTGCTGCAGTGACAGCAGAGAGGCCGCCAGCGTTTAGCAGCCACAGAGCTCACTGAGTGACAGGGAGAATTTCAGCGCCACACCTCCCTTCCCCGAAGTCTGCCACCCGATGTCCACTAACCTGCCAGTGCTTCTGGATTTGCTTGTACGTTCTGTTGATGGCCGGTAGCAGGACGCGAGGTGACAAAGCGGTGGCCAGTGTCTTTTTAAGGGACATGAGGCGGACATTAGCCTGGGAGGCTGCACCCATTTCACTCGTGATTTTCTCCAAGTGAATCACCTGCAGAAACATGAAGACAGAAATCGAGGCCTCTGCGTGGGGTTGGGGACAATGTCTGACTCACTCACAGAAACATCAGGGTTGGTGGGAAGTCAGCCCAAACGCTAGTGACCGGGAAGGGCTCGGTGCAGGTCCGATCCCAGGGGTTCCTCTCCAAGCCAACCCTGAACGTCTGCAGGTAAAAATGGACAGATGCTACTTTCCCAACTGGGTGTCAGGGTGGGGAGAGGGGGAATCAAAGGTGCGAGGACACAGAGCCCCCCGACGTAGATGTTCTCAGAGGACAGGAATCCAGAGACCGTGTGAAGAGTCAAGGTCTTCCTTGCTAACAGAGCCAGAGAGCTCCCCAGAGGCAGAGGAGCCTTTCTGCGAGTTTCAAGGGTCTACAGCACGTGGGCGTTGGTTAGGTGCTTCCTGTCAAGGCAGTGAGGGCTCCCGACCTCGTGAACGGCAAGTGCTGAACAGAAGGGCCCGAGGGGCCCTGCTCAGGCATGTTCCGCTGAAAACACCACCTGCCTGCGGTGTCTGCACGTGGCCCCTGCACTTCAGCACAGGCACTTCCAGCACTGGGAACACACAAGGCCAGTTTCACCAGTTCCTACGAGACGTGATAAAGGCAGCCCTGCCAGCTCAACCCCAAAGACCTCACAGGAGAAAGTAACAGTAACCACACTGTGCCAGTGTGAGAGACATGGGCCGCATGACAAAGTGCCACCACATTGGGGTTGGGGTTAAGCAGGAGGAACGACGGCGTGATGAGAAACAAGCACACATTTAGGGGTGACAAGCACTTCCTTCAGAAACAAGAATCTTCCCGCCAGACAGAAACTAAACACTTAAAGAACAAATAAAGGCACCCAGTTTGCAATGTCCCCCATTCTCCTGCTACCCTGAATAGCGTGCCGTGGTCACGGTGGCTCACCTGTGACAGGACGCCTTCTAGGTAGGGGCTGACGAAGTGGGGGAGAGTCTCCACCACCTTCTGCAGGGCCGCCAAAGCGCTCAGCAGATAGACCTCGCCCGAGAGCAGGTCGCTGGTGTTCTTCATTGTCGTCAGCAGTGCAGGCATCAGGCTGGAACGAAGGACATGGTTGGAGTAACTTTGAGCAGGGACAGAGTGGAGCGTGGGGTACCACTCGTTACGAAGAGTCCAACCCCGGGGCCCCACCACATTCGCTGTGCGCGTTGGAGCCCCCAGAGCGCCATCTGCATGTCCCCCGGGGCCAGCAGCACTGACCCCGCACTTGCTCTGTATCAGGCACTGTGCAAAGAGCCGTCCGAGTTCTGTCCCACATAATCCCACCAGGAGGGGATGTCTCGGGTTCAGAGAGAGCAGAGCAAAGTGACCTGGGAGGCTGCACAGCCAGTCACTGCCAGGGCCCCAGAGAGAGCCGGCCGCACCTCTCTTGTGCCCCATAGCACTGCCCAACCACAGGACCTTCACCTGCTGCTCCCCAGTTACAGATGGTCAACAGGGAGCGAAAACTGGGACAAGGAACATCAGAAAGGTGAGAATACTGTGCTTTTGCATTTGAAGACCCTTCCTTCAGCAAGTCTAATTTTATATGACTCGCACTTAGAGGCAACAAAGTCACTCAGGTGTTCTCTTGCAGCCTGTACCAGAACCCCCGTGTGAGCGCTCCTGTCTGTCCCGCCGCATACCTGGGCAGCTGGGGGATGGCCAGGGCCCCCAGGGTGGAGGCCACCTCCGCCACACACAGCAGGGCACTGCCCAAGACGTTCTTCTCGTCCTTCTTTTCGGGGGCGATCAGTCTCACTGCAGTGTTCAGCACTGGGACAAAAGGCTCTGGGTTTTCTGCACCAAAGTTCTTGCATAAAAGCTTCAGTGTAAACAAAGCCGTCTGTCTGTTTACTGCTTGCTCTTCTGCCCCCTTTTTTTTACGCTGCACAATGGCCAAAAGAACTGGAACCAGGTTTAGGAAATGGTAAACCTGAAGAGGACAAAATTCCCAAATAAATAAAACCAGAAAAACACAGTCCACTTTCCACAGCTCCTGCTTGAGGCGGCCGAAATGGCGGCCAGGCTGAGAGGCCCTGAGCCACTGGAATGCACACCACTAACCTTCTCCAGCTGACGGACTGACCACCACGCCAATGCGTGTGTCAGCGACCAGTTTCTGATTCCTACCAAATGCCGACGGGTTTGGACTGAGAGTGCATTAGAGCTGCCCTAGCCAACTAAGGCACAGTAAGGTCCGTATCACATGAGACCTCCATTAGGCCTGGAATTCCATTCTAAGAGCTCGTAGAACACACGTACACACTCCTGTTAGAACTACTATCCCATCTGAAAACACTCGTAGCACAGCCCTGTATTCAGGTAACAATCTGCTTATTTAGAGCGAACCACAGAGAAGCTTAGGGGAGGTAACGCAGCTGTCTGACGGAGTGCGGACGGTGGAGGGCCGGACGCTGCGCCCGCACTTACAGTCTTCTTCTTCCAGGACACTTTCTGCTGGAGCTTGTTGTTCAACAGGTCCATCGCTTTCCGGCGGACGGACGGCAGCGGGTTACCCAGCAGCCCTGTCATCACAGGAATGAACGTTTCCGTGGGCAGCAAGGCATTGACCTAGAGAGCAGTGGTATGTTAACAACGGCGGAAACCAGGAAAAAAGGAAGATGAACTCAGATGGACAGGCTTCTGTTCACCGTATACCTGCTAGGTGCCAGGCATTTTCAAACACACTTTCTTATTTATTTCTTACACTAACCTTTCAGGTAGGCATTACTAATCCTGTTTACTGGGAAAACACACACACACACACACAGAGACAGAGAGAGAGAGAGAGAGAGAGAGAGAGAGAGAAAGAGAACTGATGCTCAGATGCAGCGAACTGCTGGCTGCCGTGCAGCCGCAGCTCCGGGCCTGGTGTTGAGGCCAGTGACACCTCCCAGAGACACAGGCCCTCCCTGGCAGGCACTTTCCTCTCATTCTACTTGAATCAAGTGGAACACTGTGTTATGTGATTGAACAGTAAAAGCATGGTCTTTATTGAGGCACACGCCCACATACATACTCGATAGGAAAACTGTCTTCCTGACCAATTTATTTTTGGTCATGAAGAGATTCTTTTCCAAGAAAGATCTGAGCTGCATTATATGAAAAGAAGTGATGGCTAAGTTCATTTTTCAAATATTTTACTTATTTATTTTTAAAGAGAGCGAAGGGAAGGAGAAAGAGTGGGAGAGAAATGTCAATGTGTGGTTGACTCTCAAGTGTTCCCTACTGGGGACCTGGCCTGCAACCCAGGCATGTGCCCTAACTTGGAATCAAACCGGCAACCCTTTGCTTCACAGGCCCATGCTCAATCCACCGGCCAGGGCTGAGTTTATTCTTAAAGTAAAGCTGTGCTAAATCACTTCGCAATGTCATAAACACAGCAAGGACGCACAGAAGACGGGGAGAAGCCGGGCCTACCTTGTCTAGCATGTCGTAAGCTTTGCTAAGGAGCGCTCGCCAGAACTTCCCAGTGAGCTGGTCCGCGTTCTTCTCCACAGACTGGGCGACAGCGTTGATGTAGCCAAGGACCGCCTCCAGCAACCTGAAACACAGGAGGCTCCTGAGCACACTGGGTGCCCTGCTTCCGGCTTTCTGACCAGTGGGAAAAGTTATTTACAAATAGCAACTGGAAAGAGAAAAGCAACCTACCTCTGTTCAAGGCCTTTTAAAACTTCAGGGCCACCACTTTCAACTACCTAATTTGTAAAGAACGCATCATTAGAACCATATGAAAGCTGGTAACAGAAAATCATTTGCAGTGGGCACAATGACACCTCTAACACAGGGTCGTCAAACTAATTTTCACTAGAGGCCATGTCCGCCTCAGGGTTGCCTGTAACTTGAGGACTGTACAAATGTAATTACCCCTTAACTATGGACAAGGAGCTTGGCGCCGCCGCCGGGCAGCAACAACGTGCTGGGCAGATAAGACAAGGTGGAGGGTCGGATTCGGCCCTCGGGCCTTGTGTTTGCCGCCTGTGCTCTAACATTACTCAATTCGCACTTCCCACGGCACCTGTTTGCTGACATTATAATTTAATCAGACTCAGATCTCCCCATCACACTGTAATAACTCTATTTCCTTAGTCTATTACAGCTCACTAGTTATATTCTACAGGTTATCTGTAGTATTTGTAAAGTATGACAAAGATCAAAAAAGTATACCAAGCAATCAATTACCATTTACTGATACCTACCCATTGCAGAACGGCAATCCTTCTTTAGCCCCCACCCAATTTTAAGATGACCCATTACGGGTACAAGTGTGCTTCCTCTGTGGACTGCTCCCTAGCCCTGTTCTGCCCACAAACCTGAGTCTGCGGCCAGCACCACGCTCTTCTGGCCACCCTGGATTTCTGAGACCTCTTCTACGTGACAGGCTGCTCCTGTTCACGACTTTTTTATTCATTCAGCTGTTGGCGGACATTTACTGTACGCCCTTTCTCTCAGTAACGATGCCACACAAGAGCGCCTTTGTCTCCCTGAGCATCCAACGTTTTGTGGTGTATACACCTGAGAAAGGGAACCGAGCACCTGCCACGTGGCTGGGCCTGGCCACACTTTCACGACTCACAGCACCCAGCTTTGTGCACAGAAACGCCTGTGTCCCCACAGCCTTGTCACCTCCTACTGTGACTGGACTTCACAGTGACAGCTTGTTTAACCTACAGTGTTTTTTTTTACCAGGAAGGTGACTTTTTCATGCCTTTACTGGCCACGTGAGTCGTCCTCGGTGAATGCACATGCTCTGCCCGTTGTTCTAAAGGAAACCAATGCTTTCGGATTTGTACACAGCAATCTTCTCTCAGTGGCTTTCACTTCACTGTGGTTACGGTGGCTTTCTGTTGAGTGGAAGCTTCTAAGAAATCCTTCTCCTCTCTCCGGTCACAGTGATAGCCCCCAATTTTCTTCTCACAGTTCTAAGTATTCCTTTCCATGCCAAAGTTTTTAATCTGCGTAAAACTGTCCTTTCTTTACAGTGTGACGTTGTCTTTTCTTCCCCACGTGGATAATAAATTGCACCAGCTGTGGTGGTCACAGGGGTCTCTCCCCTCACCGCTTTGGGACGCATGTGCCCTTTCTCCCGGACACACCAGTGTGCCCGACGGACGTCCAGTCTCACTAATCCCCTGCGATCTGCTCAGGAGGCAAGAGCAGCACATAACTCAGACGTGCTCTGTGGAGCTGCTCTGTGTTCCTCGCCACCAACCTCCTTCCTCTCAATCTTTCTTCAGTCCTTCATTTTGTTTGTGTCTCCTTTCACTCACTGTTTGAAGTTTCTCTCACACACACACACACACACACACACACACACACACGGGCACGAGTCCCACCCACAGAGCTCACTCCTTAAGGTGAGGAGCGGCCTGTCACGAAGCCTCAGAACCCTCCTGCCCCACACAAAGTCCGCCCTTCCTTCTGACCCACACAGCTGCTTTTGAACTAGAACCAGAGGATGCATTGTTGGTGTTTGCCCTCTTTCCCTCAATGTCATTACAAAGAGTTGTGAGGTGTCACGTCACTGGGGCTCACCCATGTGCGTCCCTTTACATGACACTTCATCAGCTGGCTGTGGGTGAACACTCAGATGTTGCCAGTTCTGAACTCCCGTGAACATCCCAGACGTCTCCTGGAGCCCGGCCATGCATTTCTGTGGGTGTCTGCCACTTGAGGACAGAGTTACTGAGTCACGGAAATACAGCCTTAGCAGACCACACCAAACGGCTTTTCATGGTGATTTGCACTATTTTTCCTATTATCTTAAAAGGCATGCCTCATGTTTTCATATTTGCCAAGCTCTCTCTCCTAGTTTCAAGCACTGTTCCTTTGGAAAAAGCAAAATCGTTGTATCACAAACATACTGAAAGAACACATCACCTTTCGGATAAAATGACGGGAAGCCAGGAGCTGGGACATAAAGGACACTGACAAGAATTTAAAATGCCGCAGTTGCTTGCTGGTGTGGGTGTCCACATTAAAAACCTGCAGGGTTTCCTCTGGTGACTCGCTCTTATCAGGCACGGCTTTGGGAACGGTTTCTGAAGAAGAGCAACAAAACACGTGACCACACTCCTCTTCGATCTGAATCTTCAGTACAGACAGAGACAAAGGGACACAGCTTTCCGAAAGATCACTGTTTTTCTATTACACTGTTTTCCCTCTTCTAAACTAGTGAAAGACATGAATATAATTACCAAGAGAAAGGAAGGAAAACCCAGGGCGACGAGACAGGCAAATGGAAGACAGAAATATTACCAAAGGTGTCTGTGACTGTTGGCTCCGCGCTCAATCTCTGAAGCCTCAGAGGCACTGGCTTGGTGGCCCCACAACAGACTGAAGTCTTTAACTTTTACTTCTAAAAGGTGAAAGGTGTCCTAACGCCTTGTAGAATCCCATGTTGAAATGGATCTAATATAAAAGGGCTGGGCCCTGGCTGGGTGGCCTATTTGGTTGGAGCATCATCCCCATACACCAAAAAGTTGCAGGTTCGATCCCCAGTGCGGGGGCAGATGGGAGGCAACCACTCAGTGAGTCTCTCTGTCTTTCCCCCACTTCTTCTCTCTCTAAAACCATCAAACACATCCTCAGGTGAGGACTAAAGAAGGAAGAGTTGGGGTGCGGTGGCTGGGGTCCAGGGTGGGCTCCTTAAAGTCCATGGTCCCAGCGTGACTCAACATGGAGCCTTCTTCCTGTAGCATGTCACTACCACACCGAGTTCTCTAGGCTGCTTCCCATCTGTCCCTGAGACGACTATAAGATGAGGTGAGTCACTGCCTGGCTAAGCAGGGGACACAGGGCCAAGGGCTGGCCACACAAAACCTGTCCCCGCAGCATCCTTAGACCCTTGTCTGGAAGTGCCCTGCTGCTCTTCTCTGAAGGGCAGAGAACCGAGAACATGCAACACATCCAGCCAACGTCACTGGTGTGAGGAAGGACCGGCAGACAGCCTACTGAAATGGAGTACGTACCCTTTCTTTCCGTAGAGATTTCAGGAAGTAATACAATCATATACCCAAATGAAAAGTTATTAACTCACTTAAATCCCTCCTCAAGGTGCTGTTGGGGCTCCCGGGTCTCTGGGCTCTCTGCGTCTCCCAGGCTCTCAGGCTCAACAGTAACTACTGCGTATTTAGACTCACCTTCTTTTTCCTCTGGCAGCCTTGTCAAGTACTGGAGGACATTCATCAGGCTCTGTATCTGATGCTGGACACTAAATTCACAGCAGACTGAAATCCAAAATTCAGTGTCTGCTTCTAAAATAGCATCCTGTATAGAGAACAAAGGTAATAACACTGAGCCTATCAAATTTCTCAGTTAATAAGTACAGATAAGGGAAACGTCTTAAAAACATTTCTCAGGACACAAAGTCACTGCCTAAGGTCACAAGTATCACCAGAGGAATGAGCTGCTGGGCTCCTTACATTAAAAAGTCCATTTGTGAGAAACCCAGGGGCCTCAGTCCAGGATAATCTGCACTGTGACTTCCAGCAGTCTAGACACACTGCTTCACAGAGAGCCGGCCTAGTTCTGCGAAGTCACCTACAAACAACCCTGACCCCTAAGCCCCATCCTCCCCTGTCCCAAAAGGGCTACTCAAGGCAATCACCTGTGTCCCAGTGATTTTAGCAATTTGACACACCTTCTTTCCCTTGGAAATGACTTCAAACCCACTGTCAAGAGACAGAGTTTAATCACTTACAGCTGTGCTCTGTTGCGCTTAAAGTGAAATCACGCAGCAGGACGCCAGGCCTGCTTCTTAGAAAAGGCAACCCCCCCCCAAGAGATGTTGGTGGCTACTGAGGAATTCAGAGCCACGGGCTCTGCAAACTATTTTAAAGAATGACAAAGACTCCCTTACAAGTGTTCTGAGCAAGCACTGTTAAGTAATGTGCATTGAGCACTGCCAGCCCTATTTAAGCTTGAATATGTTGCAAAACCTGTGTGAAACAGCATTTCTTTCTTATCCCCACCCTATATTCTGACCTTTTCTCCACAGGCAGCCGCCAGCACTGTTTTAGTGACATATTGTTCAAAAAGCAGGACGAGGAGAACCCAGAGGAATCTCTCTGCACCAAGTGTGTCGACAAGCTGAACAAGGACGGGCAGGCGCCTGTGCTCAGGGACGTGGGGCAGCGCGTCCACAAACACATTCATGATTTTCACCACGATGTTTTCCACGTTTCTCGTGACTGCTCCAGAGTCTCCACCATCAGACTGTGGAGTGGGAAGCAGGGTCAGTGAGTAGGAACAAGTAACCCCCCCTGACACCACAAAACAGGCTTTAGAAGGGTGGGACAAGTCTTCGTGTGCGCCCAAGTTATGGAAAGAATTCGCATAATCAAAGACCGATCAGTAAATAGTCAATGAGTACAAACCACATCCCAGGCACTATTGGGCCCCGAGGGGCACACAAAGCGTGAGCCCTGCCCCCAAAGAGATGCATCAGAAACCAGTCACGGGTGTGGATAGAGAACGACAGGAAGGGGACGCCAAGTGCCCGGCACCGAGAGCAAGTCTGTTCTCCGGACCTCTGAGAAGCTGCGAAAACCAGGCAGGACTTGTGCTGTGCTCAAGAAGAAAGGGTCCAACTGAGCCTGAGAGAGCACAGAAAGGCCAAGGACCCGGTTTCTCTCAGAACAAGTTCAACCTGCTCTAGTCTGGTACCGGTGTTCGCAGCAGAGCTGTCCGATGCATAAAGGATGAACGTACAAACCAGCGCCCCCCTTCTGTCTCAGTTCTCTGCTCTCCTCCAAGTCACCCACATGCCAGTCTCCGCACTGAGCATGTTCCTGGACCGTGCCCCTGCGGGTGCCACTGTCGGCTCTGCCACCGCCCAGGGCCAACAGACCCTTCCTGCGCCCCACTTCACACGGTCGCTGCCAGGGCTCTGGGGGCAGCCTGGTCCCTAGCACTTCAGCACTTATCTATTCTACCGGCAGATACAGTACCAGGACAGTTGCTTTTCTTTTTTATATACATATATCCTAACTCGCTGACATGTTTGACACAGAGAATACCAGTCTAATACCAAGATTAAAAGGAGACAGTGCTGAATATGGTCATCCCTGGAATGGTCGATTGTTAACATAAGACCAACAACAATGGAGGCAAACAAAAACTCAAATAGATGACCAACCTCTTTCACTTCCGAGGCCACATTTTAGTTTCAAACTGTCCACTCCTTACTGGCAGTGACTATGTCTCACTCATCTCTTTGAACACTTAGCTCTTAGAGAGCACTTGGTAAATGTCTGTCGAATTGCATGTTAACAATTTTGCCACTGAAGCTCTAAAACTTCCTATCTTCATCGACCTACACAGTGTGTTATCAAAATGATGCAATGTCCTGAAATACACAGTAAATGTAAATTCACTTCATCAGAATAATGTCAAGATACTTTTCTAGTTACAGCCTTGTAGAATGCACATTTATTTATATTCTTGGAAAAGAATTATTTCCAAGATTACTTCTTAGCTTCGCTATCTAAAATTTAAGAGGCACAAACACCTGAGAATTTCAGGAAGGCTTTTAAATGTCATTCATTTACTACTACTCAAATTTCACACTGTGTAAAACTTTAACAATAATGTTAACGATGGTCTAGAGACATTTTACCTGAATAAGTGCTGGAATAACCATTTTCACTGTCTTGTTGATAACTTGAAAACTGTAAGTATCATCTAGACGCATGACGCTGGCTCCCATAAATGTAAAAATGGACATAATATTATGTAGAACTTTATCCTGAAAGAAAATATATCTGTCAACATTTTCTATTTTAAACATATCGAGTATTGATGATTCATTGTAACTCAGCAATGAGAAACAATGCAGCTTTAAAATGGGCAAAGGATTGTTTCCCCAAAGATAAGTGAGCAGTCAATGAGCCCCAGAAAAGATGCTCAACATCATTAGTCACCAGGGAAATGCAAAACCCAGACACCCCTTCACACACACTGGGAGGACTGTTCTGGGACAGAGGGACGACACAGAGGAGTGAGGGTGCGGGGAATCAGAGCCCTCACACACCGCTGCTGGGCGCGGAACGATGCAACTGCTTTGGGAAAGAGTCTGGAAGGTTCTCAGTTAAAATCAGCAAATGACCCAGCAATTCCACTCCAAAGAGAACTGAAAACACCTGCACACAAAACCTCATTTACAAATGCCCTCTGAGCATAATTTTACCATAACAGCTAACAAGCAGAAATAGCTTAAATACCCTTTGTATACACATAATGAGATACTATTCAGCGATCAAAAGGAATACTGATTCAAGCTTCAACACAAATGAACCTTGAAAACACTCCACTAACGAAGTGAAAGAATTCAGGCACAAAAATGGCTTTGTATGGTATGAGTCCATTTAAAGACAATGGTGGGGCGAGAGACAACAGGGTGTGTGCATGCTAATGGCTGATGAAACTGTTTTGGGAGCAGATAACTATGATGGTGACACAACTTTGTGAACAGAGTCAAACCACTGAATTGTACACTTTAAATGGGGGAATTTAATGGCACAAATTATACTGCAATACAAACAATGGAAAAATATCAATGATTCTCAACCATTTCTGGATTATCACCCTCTTTGAGAGCTATTGACTTTCTTTCGAGGGCAAAAAAAATCCCATACACAAGCACATGATTTCAGTAGATCAAAAGACACCCTCACACTCACAGAGAACCCTGGGTTAAGAACCTCTGACATAAATCTCCACTAGGAAAGTAATGCCAACCTCTCCAAAATTCTTTAAAAGATGCACTTCTTTGACATAATCTCTTTAACTAAGGTAGCTCATAATCAAGTGAATTTTCGCAGGTCGCTGGTTGAGAGCCGTCTGAGGACAGGTGGCGACAGCGATCTTTCCCAGCTACGCTGACTCCAGCACTGACCAGAGCGTTAGTGGGCCAGGCACTGTGCTCAGTGATGAGAAAACCATGCAGGGTGTCCTCACCGCTGCCCTGACAGGAAGGCTACCGTTAACTCCCACTTTACCAAGAGGGACCGAGGCTCCGCAAACTCTAGTGAGAGGCGGGGCTGGGAGCCCACCGGCACTGAGACGCCCAGTCCACTGGCCTTAACAGCGAGCCCCTCTGCGTGTCCACAGACGGCAGAAGCGCCTGCTGACGTCCTCTCCCACTAGTACTCACGGGAAATATTCCGGCCACAGTCCCCAGAAGTAAAAGGGCATGGTGGTGGGTCTGAGGCATCTCGGAAACGCGGATGCACTGAACGATCAACTCCACATTGAACTTCTCCTCATCCAGAACGTCTAGAGTGGTGAGAAGCAAGCAACCTCTGAGTGGCAGGCACCGCTCCACTGGACGTGGACGACTCCTCCGCCCACCCCCTCCAACACAGCACCCACGCCCACACGTACCTTTTGGTATTCTCCCGCCGTCTGGAGAGAGTTTTTGGCAGATGTTGAGCAAACAGCTGAGAATTAACTGTTTGGTGTATTCCAAGTTTCCCTGCTCTGGTGGCAAAGGTTCTAAACACCTGCAGGACCCCAGAAGAGAAACGAGATGGGAAAGTCGTCCAACAGCAGGGACGTGCCAATGGCCCCTTTCCACAACACATGTTAAATAAGGCATGGCTGAGACACCAACAGGAAACATCAAGGCTGTACACGGGAGGGAAGATTCCTCGCTCTAACTTCCTTCTCACACAGGCAGGCACTCATGTCAGATTACCTCTCTCTCTACCGCACTTCCGTCCGCCTGTCTGGACTTTCAGAATCACTCTGCTGGTCAGATGAAAGGACACATCTACAGTTCAATGGCACACGCTACGACTAATCTAACAATTCACACCTAAAAAACACAGTGGGTGTCACCCTGTATCTTTAAATACAAGCAATGCTGTTCCGGGGACACGATGCTGAAAGTTAAGAAGCCGTAAGAAGATGAAATACTGCCATTTGCAACAACAGGGAAGGACCCTGAGAATACGGTACCGATAGAAATAAGTCGGACAGAAAAGCTGAGAGCCACAAGATTTCCCTCATTCATGGGATAAGAAAAGTTAAAATCAGACACAGAAAACAGTATGGTGGTTACCGGACAAAAGGGGGCTGGCGGGGTAGTAACGGGGGCCAAATACCTGTGGTGGGCACACAATACAACGTAAGAGATCATATACTGCCTGTATGACCTTATTAGCCAACGCCACCTCAATAAATGTAATAAAATAAATAAATAGAAACTAAAAAGAAACACGTCCATAACTGCAAGCTAAGGGAAGTAGGTGAGCGCGTGGTTACTTCCTACACAGTGCAGGATCAGGGGAGAGCCGGGGGCACTGACAATGGCACCTACAACCATTCTTCTAACCTTTCAACAACAGTTTTTAATTTTGCAGACCAGCGAAGCAAGAAAAAAGAATGTTCAATAAAATGAAGAGGACTCAGAATCCCCTCCTCTCCTTGACCACACACGGGCAGGGTCGTTACCTTGACAGCAGGCTGAAAAGTGTGGGTATCAGCACCTGAGGGTTTTTGAGCTTCTTTTTGTGCTGCAGCAATTCTAGGATGAGGGTTACTCTTTGCCAGTAAGAACTTCCAATCTCCTGGACAGACTCCAGGTCTTGTGATTTTCTGGGAAACAGATATGACCCAAAATTAGAAAAACAATTATTATCAGTGCTAAGAAAAAAATATGCCTGATTATGCGAAACTGATGGGCATGGAAAAATCAACGGTTTCTTAGCCTTCAAGGCCCAGGAGCCGCACGCTCTCCCTGCAGTCACAGCTTACTTCTGCTGCATTTTCTGCCTCCTCGTTTGCTGAACTGTGCCCAAGGACTTAGTTTTATCTGGTGGCTCCAGTTCTATCCTGACTTGTTCAGCATTAACAGAAATCTGAAACAAAAAGAATAAACTGCTAGTGACACAATTCATGGGATAAAATGAGAGCAGTGAACACTGATTAGAAGAGATGCAATGAAAGTGTCTAAGTTCCCTTTCATGCCTCCCTACAACTCCAGAGCCCAGGCTGATCCCCAAAGGCAACCACCGCTGAAAACTCCTTATATATTCATTTGGCAATGTTCCACATGTGGACCATGGGTAAAGATTTAAAAAACAAAAACACAGGAGCATATGATACACGTTGCTCTGCAACTCTGTTTCACTTAGTTTATCTGAAAAAGCTAAGTAAATAACATTAAAACTCTGAGAAATGCTGAATCAGGATACTAAGACTTCACCATATCCTTACCCTTTGGAAATGTGTCTTCCCACAAAACCCAGAACAGAAAGCCAGGCGGTTACTCTGATGCACGGCTAGGTTTCCATGCATTCAAACCAATGAGCAGGTGCTCAGTGGTATCGCACACGCGTCCTGAGACAACTCCTGAGCTCAGGCACAAGCGAGCGGGACCAGCTGAACACCGGGCCCCACACGCATATTCCGACCCCTGCACACAAAAGGCAGGTGCCCCAACGCCAGGAAAATCCAAACTAACACACAAACTCTACCTGGTTAAAACCACAGATAGTCCACACGCTAAATATATCGGTGGAAACCTCTCGTTTTGATTAAGCGCTTCTCTATGACCAAATTTTCTGTGATTTAGTTCATGGTTACATTTGACTTTCTAAAAACAATGGAGGATGTTGAAACATGTGTTACTTCGAAGAGAACAAACATTAATAAATTACAAACCACTTTCAACTTACCCCTTTAAAAACACCGCTAACAGTCTGAGCACAATGCGTATTCTTACAGTTCACAGATAAATCAAACAACATGCGCACAATCTTCTGCTGAACTTTTTCATCTGATATGGCTGCAAAAAATGGCTTTGTAATCTAGAGGAGGCAGAAAAAAAGCCACTGAGTTCAATGAACCAACGATTATTCTCTCTGTAAAACTGTCCCCAATTTTGTCAGTCAGAATGCAATACTTCTTAATGACCCACGTATATCATTCAGTCTTGCAAAACGGGTCAAATAAATCAAATTCCTCTAAAACATGTGCAGTCCACTCCATCTTCTCCAAGTAAAACATTACACATTTTTTTCAAGCCTGCATGTGCTTCAGTTTCCGAAAGTAATCACTGACCTTTTCCAGGGCTGTAATCTGAACAGCAGGCATTCCTGAAAAAAGTTCCTTTGTTGTGTGTGCGGCTTTTATGAATATATCCAGACTCTTTGGATCCTTATGTAAAAGAGAAGCTGAATATTCATTATATTTCCCCAGAGTGAGATGCAAAACAGTGGCCTCATCTTTCAGGACAGCTGTGGGCTGCTTCTCAATCTTTTCCAAGAGTTGTTCAACCATAGGCAGCAGCTGAGAAAGCACCATCTGAAGTGTGGAGAATGTATTAGGAAAGTTTTTATACTGACATGTTTTTGCTTGTTTTAACAAAGACCTCCGAAGGGATCGGGTTGGAAGGCTGGGAGCTTGGCCTGGAGAAAACATCCCTATAGTGATGGCCTCTTGGACACGACGCAACTACTAACCAATCGAGCACTCGGGTCCCTTCTGATGGTTTTGTCTATAATGGTCAAAAGCTCTAAACCCTTCAGAAATGAGTGGACGAATCTTCAGTGTTCCAAGTCCTTGTGAAAACAGGAAATACAAACTAAACTAAAGGTCTAGACTACAAAAACAATTATTAGCTTTTTCTAAATTATTGCAATTTCCCAAACAACGTTTCCAACTTGCTATAATTAACATTTGTTCAAATTATGTATGTGAAGTCTTTAATAACTGAACCAGGTGGCAGCAAAATATGGCTTGTGGGCCAGAGCCAGAGGACTGCCCGCTCCGCACGTCTTGCTCACGACACACAGCCAGGCCTGCCGTGTAGCTGCTGCCTCCACCGCTACTGCCACACACGGCACAGCTGAGCAGCTGCCACAGCCGGTGCGGCCTGCAGAGCCTGAACTATTTGCTACTCAGTTCTTCACAAGACAAGATGCTCAATTCTTTTTACTTTTAAAGATTTTATTTACTTATTTTTAGAGAGGGGGATGGGAGGGTGAGAAATATTAATGTGTGGTTGCTTCTTGGGCACCTACTAGGGGCCTGGCTGGCAACCCGGTCACGTGCCCTGATAGGAATTGAACCAGCAAACCTTTGGGTCACAGACTGGTGCTCAATCCACTGAGCCACACCAGCCAGGGCCAAGATGGTCAATTCTTAACCTAGAGCTGCAATGACAGAGCTGATAAATGCCATCTGTTTGCTTCCACCAGGGAAATTCAACCAAACGGTTTCTACGGCATTGTGCCCATGTTAGTAGAGCTCCCCGGGGCAGTCAGTGGAGGCTGGCAGGGCACTGGTGAGGCACACAGGCACCCGGACACCAGGATCAGCAGGCTTTCCTCTGCACCCGGCACGCTTGCCAACCAGGCTCTCATGACCTCTCTCTTCACAGCACAGGTTTCCTTGACAACATAATGAAAGCTATGGATCCCCCCCCCACCAAAAGTATACGACCACATACATTTAAAAAGTGAGCAAGTGGTTTTGGAAATATTTGAGTCTTAACAGGGGGACCCCAACCCAAAAATGGAATTTATTTATAAAAAATTGGGTTTTTATTCTTACATGTTTAAACTTCAGTCACCTTTAAAGCACTCTCCATTTGATGCAACGCACCTATTGAGATTTTTTCCATTGCTTAAGAGTTTCTGAACTCATCGATTCTGATGTCTTTACAGTGCCTCGGCTGTTTTTTGTTTCACCTCTTCTACATCAGCACGACGTCTCCCTTTGAGAGCTTTTTTTATCCAGGGAAACAAAAAGGTCACTCAGGACAAGATTGGGTAAATAAGGAGGGTGGGGCATGGGGGTCATGCCATTTTTGTTCAAAAACTGCTGAACACTCAGAGCAATGTGGGCGGTGTGCTCATAAATGACCCATCATGAACTGGGAAAATGCACTGAGTCTTAAAAAAAAAAAAAACTCACTGAAGCCAAACACAGCCTCTCACAACAACGCCAGCTGGCACACTGCTCCAGGTGGGTTCCTAGAACACTCACCTAGTCCAGGAAACCTGTACTACACGGGCCCACACCCCAGAAGATAATTCCAGGGTTGTCTGTGGTCCCCCACTGTATGTTCAAATATATTACCTTGTAGAAGACTTTTACCTGAAGAACCAAGGCAACCCTACAGTTTTTCCACAGTGCACCTTCAGTGTTTTTTCCCCATGTGATTTTAAAGTTCATTTAAAATCAAGTCAGTGCTTAGACAGACCTAACTCACAATTTTAAATTGGAAAGAAACCCACCGACATCTGCTTTTTGTTTACCTCTTTTCTCCACCACAGTGTTTCCTCTCCCCAGTTAGTAAGAACATTGTCACTGAGGGCACACATGTGCCTCTGCGGGTACCTTGCCCGTCCAGCGGTGGTTTCAGTGACCGCCGTGACACCCCCTGGGGTGCAGCCCCTCACACCACACTCACCTCACCGTGCACTCCCTGAAGCACTCTCGTCAGATCTTTGGCAACATAAGACGGGCAACTGGATACACAATAAAGCAGGTTCTTCAAAGTTTCGGACAACTTCTGATGAGATTTCAGTTTCTTTTCTCTCTGTAGCTCCTCAAATAATGTAGCCAAATCCTAGGGGTAACAAAGAAGAAAACTAGGTAAAAAGAGTGAAGCAACCCTGAATGTTAAATGTACTAATTATGGTGGGGGGCGGGGGGAGGTGGTCATTCTTCATTTTCCCTTAAAAATTTAATAGGCAAGGACACTGGTCCCCCTCAGGCAGCTTCCTCTCAAAAACCAGACACCGGTCTCCCAGCAGTTATCTTTTAAAACTGGGGCAAAGAGGTGCAGCTATCACCCTGTTAGTTTCTAAATTCGGAGGCTGAACTCAACCACAGTCCCTGCAAAGCAAAAGTCAAGAAAGGAGGAAACTGCTCAGGTGTGTGCACGAGTGGGCACGCCTGCAACCCTCTGTGCTGGGAGTTACCTGAACGACGTAGGTGGCGTCCGAGGTGACCTCCTCTGCTTTGGGCACCACATGCTGTATCACCATGTGGAACGGGGATGCCACTCCGCTGAGGGCCTGCAGACAGTGAACGGCCGCCCTCCGGACCTCCTTTATGGGGCTTCCCAGGTTAAGCAACAGAGACGCCACCACTGAAACCAAAGGGAAAAATATTTAAGTAACAATTTAAAAAATGGAAGCAGTGCAAAATTTAAATAGTCCCCAAGGGCACATGATGAAAAGTTTTACTCCCAACTAAAACTCCCTCTCTGAAGACCATTCACTGTCTGTTTACTCTTCTAGAAAATGCCAGACATATGCTGGTAAATTCTTTTGAAAACATACAAATGAGAGCAAAGTACAGATACACCCTTCTACAGAAACTGCTGTCGCATCTCAAAACACGCTGAAGAGTTTTCCACACGAAAGTAAACTAAATCATTCTTTTCAAGCTGTACACGACTCTGCTGACTTTCCGCATTTTGAAAACTGGTACCTTACTGGATAGAGTTTTTAGCGCGGTCCCAGACTTTTGGCATTAAAATTGCTGCCGACACCCCTGGACACACACCCTTGCATGACTGTGTGGAGGAAGCTACCCACGTGTGCACCATGCTTGCAAAGATTTTGTCCTGAATTGACATTTACTGTGACTTGACTTTCAATGCAGAAATTTTAGTCAACTTTTTCTTCTAATTTTGTACGTGGCTTGGAAAGACCTTCCTCACTATAAATGAATTTAAAAGTATCGATGTGGATATTTAGAGATCGTATGTACTCCATGTTTTTTGCTAATATCAGGGCCAGGTTTTTTCTGTGAAATCTTTAGTTGACGTGAAATCTTCTGAGGGATGAGGCTTGAGTCAAACTTTTCAAATGTTTCCAAGTAGCTGACCAGCTCTCCTACTGCATAATCCCCCCAAGAAGCCCACAGATCTGAGGGGTCAGCTCTGACTGAAACATTTCACCAAACAGTCTTTCCAGAGCCACGTTCAGGAACAGTGACCAATTCAGCACTGCTGATTTCGTTTTTGCTTCGTAGCTATGCAGTGAAAATGTCAGCCTTTGATTTAAGAACTATGTCCATCACATGACCCAGACTTTGCTGTCGCTTAACTAGAAATAATTACTGATTTTTATCTAATGCCATTTCAGATCTTTGGAACATGATGGCTTTTTCTGTCAACAATTATATGGCCAATTATACTATTTTGAACCAATTCTTTTTTATTAATGTGAACTCTATTTGGGCAAATGCTTGATTTGTAAACAACAGACTGCTGAACTCAATTTGCAAACACTCGGGATTTTTGCATCACTACTAAAACCCTGGCCAACTGCTCTGCTGTGTCTGTCAGTGCCAATTTTCCATGTTATGCTGGGTTTAGAGGAAGAATCTGGAAGCTTCCCTTCGCTCCATGGCCTGCCCAGCTCAAGAGCACTGAAGATCCAGTGGAATGCACCTGTGAGATCGCCTGGATTGCGGCTGCTCTTGGACAGCTGTGTCTGGGCTAAGACGCTGCCTGTTTCCTCGTCTGCTCTGCAGTTACTTCATTTCATGCTTTGTACTGAAGCACACTGGTTGGTTTTTATTTTTCTAGAAATGACCTGTTACACATTTCCCACTCTAGAATGCTAAGAGCCAGCCTGACAGCCTTCAGACGTTTCTGAGTGCAGTAAGAAACCTGGAAATCCTTCCTGGCCTCCGCAACATTAGATTGTAAAATAAAGCCAGAAACAAACAGCTGCAAAGTTGAATTTACCTGTACAAAGGGCAGCTTTAGGCCAAGATACTTTATTTGCTAAAACGAACAAACAACCAAAAAAACCTCTCTGTGTAGAAGAGCAGAACTTCCCGAAAAATCCAAACGCAGAAACAAATTTAAAGTACTCCAACCTCATACCTCACTTAGTCCTTTGAACACTGGTTTGAACTGTGTGGGCCCACCATAATACAGATTTTTCAATACATACTGTAAACTTTTTCTTCTTTATGATTTCCTTAATATCATATTCTTTTCTCTAGCTTACTTTATTATAAGGATATGGCACATAACACATAAAGCGTACAAATACGCACTAACTGGCTTTTGTTGGTAATGCTTCTGGTCAACAGCAGGCTCTCAGTAGTTAAGTTCTGGGAAGTCAGAAGCTATGCATGGCTTTTTGACTTCGTGGGAGTCGGCGGCCCTCACCTCTGAGATCTTCACAGGTTAACTGTGTAAGTACTATGGCTCCCGTATTCAGATAAGGTACTGGGACTCAAGAGAAGTCAAAGCTACATTACTTAAGGAATCAGCTTTTAGGAACACCTTCCATTTAAAAAAATGTATGTGACGTCATTCTAATTTTACTTAGACTTAAAATAGCATATTTTACATAAAATACAAAAATGTGTTTTTGCTTCTAAACATGCAAATAAATTCACTATATTAATCAGGCATAACAAACCAAAGGCAGCCTCCATCTGACAAATGTTAAAAGTCTAATCATTTATGCAAGACTGAGCCGGAATTCGTATCTACGCGCAAAGTAATAAATGTAGATTGTCAAGTCACTGCGTACATTATGGTGTTATATTACTAAAACAGGCAGTATCTTTCTCTGAGCAGCATAACATACTAAATTAGGACAGCCACCAGCCAACACCTCCCAGACCCCTCCCTGCCGAGGTTGGGCTAGAAGTGCGCTGCGGACGGGTTCGGTGGCTCGCGGCCCTCGGGGATTCTAGGGTAAGGTGCTTGAGCTTCTGGACAGAACAAGGTGCCCCTCTCCTGTTTTCAGTGGAGTCCTGTGACGTGTCCAGGCAGCATAAGTGCAAAGGCACTTTAGGAAGAGGGAAGTGACACACGACAAGGCAGCAGGGATGGGCAGGAGCCTGTCTTGCAGCAACACCAGAGGCAAAGTGAGGTCTGTTGGTCCTGCTATGGAGAGACAGAGGTATACTCCTCAGGGGCCACCCCCTTCAATGCCAAAGGACAGCAGACATGGCAGACCTGATAGCAAATCGGGAGAGTTACGACCTCTAAATACAACACATACATCTTTTTGAAAATTCACGTTTAACAGGAGATAGTTGTTTTAATAATACCTCCATAAGATGAAACTCTACGCAGACATTTTAAAAAAGATAAATTTCTATATATCTATGTTTATTTATATTTTTGAAAACAGGACATTAAAAAATTAACATTAAGATTATTTTTTAATCTTCACCCAAGCACATGCCCATTGATTTGAAAGAGAGGGGACGGGGGGGGGGGGGGGGAAGAGAAACACCAGTCAGCTGCCTCTCGTATGTGCCCTGACCAGGGATTAAACCTGCAACCTAGGTATGTAGCCTGACTGGAAATTGAACCTGTGACCTTTTGTTTTACGGGACAACATTCCCACCAGCTCAGTGACACTGGCCAGGACGATATATTAATGTAGACCAATGCTTATATTAAGTGAAAAATTAAAGTTAAAAAGTGTATAGAAAATTCTCATTAAAAATTTTTTAACTTTCTTAAAAGTAAGTCTACCTAAAACAGGGGCTGCAGTTTTATAGTAAGTAGTGCAGAAAAAAATACATTCTTAGGATTTTATTTTGTGGGTAAAACTTGAATTTACATATCTACTTTACCTTACATTTGATACAATTTTGGTTACAACTGTAATTATGTGCTCTTTCAAGGAACTAATAAGACAAACATTGAGAAATTATTCTGTGAAACGTTTATGATCATTCACTCTGCTTTTACAGAACATTTATGAAGACCAATTTCGTAATTAAAAAATAATCAAAGCCCTGGCTGGTGTAGCTCAGTGGATGGAGCACGGGCCTGCAAACCAAAAGATCGTGGTTCGATTCCCAGTCAGGGCACATGCCTGGGTTGCAGGCCAGTTCCCAGCAGGGGCCAGTTCCCAGCAGGGATCGCATGAGAAGCAACCATACAGTGATATTTCTTTCCCTCTCTCCTTCCCTTCCCCTCTAAAGATAAATTAAAAAAAAAAAATAATAATCAAGAGCCCTGGCTGGCATAGCTCAGTGGACTGAGTGAGGGTTGTGAACCAAAGTGCCATTGGTTTGATTCCTAATCAGGGCACATGTCTGGGCTGCAGGCCAGGTCCCCTCTTCGGGCCACACAAGAGGCAACCACACATTGATGTTTTTCTCCTTCCCTTCCTCTCTCTCTCTCTATAAAAAAATAAAATCTTTTAAAAAATCAAGAACCTCTCCACATTTCCCAAGGGCCACTTACTCCCCTGATCTTAAAGTCATTCTAGTCTGCAGTATTGATGACAACCACCGTCCTCATCAACTTTCTCACCTTCAATCACTAAGGGGTGACCTCTGCCAGGTCCTCCCATTTGTCAATAGCTTTGGAAGGAGGTCAACCCACTTTCAGTATCATATTCATCAACTTCATGAAATTCTGTATCTTTGTCAACATCTGCAATTTTGCTTTATATGAATTTCATTTTGGGAGGTTTCACAGTGAGTGCCCAACCTGAAAATGATTTACATGTGATAAAAGAAATAAATCCAGGAGGGCTGCCTGAGTGCAGACCCACTTTATAAGTAGTTAAGAATTATATTATGATGGTTTGAATTAATCACCTATAGCTTCCATCATTTGTTTTAGTGAGATTCTGCAACTGACATTAATAACTTAAAAGCAATACTTAGAGAAGTAAACAAATATAACATGTATGAAAGGGGAGCACGCACATGCTCTATTTAAAAAACTGTAAAAAAAGAAATTCTCCAAACTACAACCCCACGATGCACACGCAGGGAAAGCCGTAGAGCCAGAGGTGACAGTACATGTATAATGCTCCGGGCAGTACCTGGAGAAGACGTGGAAGCCAGGTGGGCTCTACACTGTGGCCTCAGGGAGGACAGCATCGCGCAGCCCACGTACAGGGCTTGAGTCTGGAGCATGGACTTCACGCAGCAGTTCAAGGGATTTGAAAGGCTAGAACCATAGGTCCATAACACAGAAAGGAACTTGAATAACTGAAAAACATCTTCTAGATGTACCTGAATTAAAAATAAAACAAAAGCAGGGAAGTTTCATTTTCATAATTACACCAACTAGAATAGTATACGACTATAGAAAACAAATAGCTAATTATATTTAGCTGTGTCTAATCATGCAAACTTATTCTATGCTTGGAATTTTAGCAAACTGGCAGGAATATAAGTGAATTCAGAGGACTGATATCCACAGGGCTCGCTCTAACCTTGCAGTTGAACACACTTAACAAACAAACAAGACACTGAGCAGAACTGAGACAAAAGTGATGTTGGGAAGCCTCATTAAGGCAAGTCCTTCAAAGATGGAGGGAGCAATGTCAATTGTGTCACATGTTGCTCTGACGTTTCTTAACTGAGTGACTTTGCATAGGCTAAACCATCTCTCTGAACATCACTTTCTCACCGCTTAACACTATTAAGCCCCAGCACATAGGGCTGTTATGACCAAACATGTCAACAGGCCTAGTACATGAGGCACATGGGGATGCTGGTCTCTGTCGACCCCACTGATGGAGGTCAGGATCACAGCACTGCTTTACAGGGCCTGTGATCACCACACACTCTTTGCTGTTTAGAAGTCTACTTTCATTCTCACTCAGAACTGTCATGGCTAAAGTAACCTGTGACACCCTGAAGGGCAGAGAATGCCTGAAAAAGAGGGGCCTGCACCTTGAGGAACAGCTTCATCAGCACCCTGAAGTGGGTGCTGTCAGCCCCACGGAGGATCGTCTCAAAGAGCCCGATGAGCAAGCGCAGGTAGTCTCTGCTGTCCGCTTCCAGCCGGTCAGGATTCCACCACACATCATCTACACAGACGTGAGGAGAGACAACGTGTGACTCACGTGAACACTCTGCTGGGACTTTACACTCAACAAAAAGAGTAGTGGAGCCACGGACTCAGTTTTCCAGGGAATCCCATTCAGAAGGGTCACACCTGGTCCTACCTTTAGGAAAAGATTTAGGAGCCTTTAGTGCATAAATAAAAATTTTCAGCGAAAATACGAGTAACGCTGAGTCCTCCACAGCTATCCACTGGGCAGCGTTGACCTGCTGTACGTAATGTGCCCACAGCTGCGCTGGTATCGCCCGGTCCGTCATCAGCTCGGAATGCCATTCCGAGGGCATTTCCTGAAGTGGGAAGGAAACAGAAGGGCGCAGATTCACAGCAGTTCTGAAACCGGGTTCCACGGGCGGACTGCGATGGTGTGTACGCCGGGGGAATACGCAAAACCGGGTGTGGGGATTTGGGCGAGAGAATTCGTAACTTTAATCAGGTTTTTAAAGAGATCTATCACCATTCACAAGAAAAGAAAGAAAGGAGTTAATTATGGCTTCACTTTTTATCTATTTTCTTAAACCATTAACCCTAAAAACAAACATTATTCACACAAATTCTGTCTTTCAAATGGCACCTTTCTAAACAGAAGGAGTTGGGCTTCCAAGAGATCCCTAACAAGGCTTTTCTCAGTTTTTTTTTTTTTTACAACTAATCTGAAGAAAGTACATTATAAAATCCCCAAACTTACAGATGATTCTAAACAAGTAGCAAAATGTTAAGGTATTTAGAAATTATATAACAAATGCCAGAAGGAAGCACGAGAAAAGGCGTAGGAAAGGGACGAACAGAACCGCAGACAGGTGTGTGCGGAGTTGGAACTGGGGAGAGAACCAGGCCAAAGCCAGACTCACAAGGCACTGCCCTCGGCGAGGCAGTTCGTAGCTCACTGTGCGGCCACAGCCAGGAAGATGCTCAGGGCTCTCAGAGAGGGGATTAAATATGAACAGAAAACCATCTGTATCTGTGTATACAGAAAACACTCCATTTGTCCACACTTTTAACACTGGGAGCAAATACAATTCAGGCTTCACACTTTTACAAAAGGTATCAAAGAAGTTAAAAGGGCCTCTCTGGGCTACTTTTCAACATATGAAGAGTAATTCCTTTAAAGTCTACGTCACTTTATAGCTACCAGTGGCCATGACCTGAACTTACACAATCCTGAGGGTATATGGAAACATTAAAAGGATGTGATTCATTTAGCAAATCCAATAAGGAGCCTTCTGAGGTTTGGAGGACAAAACAAAGCACTATTATATATGGCAAATATTAAAAGAAATAATCTTATGACCTCAAAATGTGATACCAGTAACTCACTAACACTGCCAGAGACAACGGCAGGCTGGTGAGAGCCAGTGTAATGTAATATTAAGAGAACACAAAAGATCCACTCTTGGAAAGTAAGAGCACGAAGGAGCATTTTGTTCAGGCACTGATACAGCTAGTGAAATCTTTACCACTAAGGGCAGTTAGGCACAGCTTAGATAACAACTCCAATAAAGACGAGACGGACAATAGCACTGCGACCCGGAAATTCTATAATTGGATTAACTTTCTGAAAAAGGAAGAGAGCACCTCATTCACCCCCTACTGCTCCCAAGGCCGCGCCACAGCCACCCCGGACAGGGCTCCTAGCCACTCGGCCCCCGGCGGCCAGCTCTGCCCCGACCGCAGGCCAGGCCGTCACTCTACGCATCCCCGACCTCCCAGGATGGCCTGCTCCTTACCACTGCTGTCAGGACGCTTTCGAGCTTCTTTATTTTTTTCTGCAACAAACTGAAGACTCTTATCGCAAATGGAAAGTGCGTTTCTTTCGAGGATGAGCAGCACGAGACCAGCACAGACATGACCACGTGGGAAGTCACTTTCTGCTGCAGGCTGAGGGGCTCCTTCTCCCCGATACTGATCAAACCCTCCACCTGGGAAAACAAGCGCTGCTCATTACTGCCAAGTCTCGGGTGGCACCAAACGCATATTCCCTATACCCCAGGCCTCGTCAGATAGTATGTGTTTTACATTTAAAGTGAGGTGACAAATGTAAAGCCTTCAAAAAGTAGTCAGCACTGATTTCTAGTAATTATAAAAATAACTAATTTCAAAAATTATAACGAACATAACTGTACTTGCCAACTGGATGTTTTTAAATCACAAACCTAATACCTTTATAAAGGGTGTATTTACTACAGCAAAAGCAATTTTCTCCTCCTGTAGGTATTTTGCTATTTTAACAAATATATAACTTTAATATTTTAAATGAGAAAGCAAAAAAGGAGGTGAAAAAGTATACGTTATTCTTACTGGCCCAACAAAAAACTACAATGAAATAAACTATATTAAATGTTAAGGGTTTCAACAATCTGCAGAATATATAACACAACACTATACATGTTTAAAGCAAAATAAAATACTCAAGAATGCAAGTTATTATCAAAACAAGAAAAAGAAAAAGAAAAAGAAAAAGAAAGAGGATGATGACTCTACACAAGCAGACACAGAGAATCTAAGACTGTAAGAAGGCGACTCGGGGGTGGGGCTTTAGCAGCGTCCCTACCATCTTTAACATTGAAGAAGGATCCCCTGATTTTATATTGTCAGCCAACAACTCAATCATCTTCTGATTTGCTACACCAATTAGTTTTCCTGACTTTGTACTTTTCATCACATTTTCAAGAGCTGTTAAAGAAAAAAAAAAAGGTTAAACACAGGGCCCTGTATCACCAACACTTGCTTAAAGGATCATGTAGACGAAGGAATTTAAGCAAAAATTTTATTATTTTCCTATAAACATTTGCTTTTTATTTTACCTTTCATCCAATTCTGAATTTGTCTATGGGTCAGTTTCTTTCTCACTGTATATTTTATCTTAGCAGAAAATTTTTAGATCCTGGCATTTATGTGGCATGTACACACATATGATTTCAAATGGCAAGTATGGCCAGTTTCTAATGGTACTTATCTTCTTTTTGAAGTGTTACCTGTTCATTTTGTCTAAAAAGCAACAGAATTTCTTACCTTCTTTCCAGCCCCGTAGCACAGGATGCAGAGAGCAAAGTCCTGATCGGGATAAATACACAGCAGTTTTCATCTCGGGGGACTCTAGATCATCCCTGTCGATGACCATGAAGGGAAGCAGACGAACCACTATCTCATTCGCCAACTCATCCTTTCCATTCAGCATCTCTTCTCTAACTATCATGTCTGTGGCCAGTTCAAGTACCTCACACCTGAAAGGTATAAAAGCACATTTGCTTCGGAGGCACATCAGGGACTTCAATCCAGCAGGCAATCATCATCCTTACACTGCTCCACGTCAACGGACAATCACGCTGGTCCCCTCACCGAACATGTCATTCAGAGACACCAAGACGATCAGTGGAAAACCATGCTAATACAGGAACTGTTTAGGACTGCTAATTCGGCCAACTCTTTTTTTTTAAATCACAATAGGTTAACTGTAACATAAAACGTACCATCTTAACTCCACTAGAAATAAAAAATTCACTCATAAGTTCAAAAAATATCTGAACACATACTATGTGCTAAGAATTAGACATGATAGATACAAAAACCTGTAAGATACGCTTTCTTCCTCTAAGGAGCTTAGTCATTTGTCCATGTAAAGAGCTTAGGCGCCAAAAATAAAACAACCAGCCCTGGCCAGGTGGCTCGGTTAGTTGGAACATCACCCCAAACACCAAAAGGCTGTGGGTTCGATCCCTGGTTGGGGTAGTAAGGGAGGTAACTGACTGATGTTTCTCTTTCACACTGGTGTTTCTCTCTCTCTCCCTGCTCCCCTTTATTTCTAAAATCAATAAACACCTCCTCTGGGAAGGTTTAAAAAAAAGAAAAAAAATAAAATGACCAAAACTCATCAAATACTTACTACAGAGTTAACATGCACTTCTGAACGTATATTTAATATATTTTTAAATTGTATAGTGTATAATCCTTGCAAAACAAAACCCAGACATAAAGATTTATAAAATACAAAATGAAAGTTCTTTTCATCCTACTTTCCACATTTCAGTATATCAAACATTATATACTTCTTTTTCCGATTTATGAAGGAAAATTTCAGAGAACAGTGTAATGAATCCATGCAAACCCGAATGGAATATTTATAATGCAAGAATGTAACGAGATCCACTTTATTACCACAATCATAGTGGCATATAACTACAAGGTAAATTGCAAACATGAAAAGCAAAAGAAAAAAATCAAAATGAATTCAATATAAGAATTTCACCAATTCAAAATTGTGTAAGGAGAAATGAATACATACCATGCCCTATTTTTTGAAAGTTCTGCTCTTTGAAAGAGATTCAGAAGATTTGAAACAGTCACTTCTGATGTAAAGTGTCTCTTGAAAATCTAGAGGAAAAAGAAATGTCCTAAGAGAAATTTTACTTGCTTACATTTGGTGCTTCTTAAATGAACTGAAAAAACCCCGTAAATTATAAAGAATTTATCTCCCAGGAATCCTAGTCTAACTGAAAAGTTTTATGAGCAATTTCTCAAAAGTGGCATTCATGATCCCATTTTCCACGACCGCAAGGTAAAATTTCTGACAAAGTCCCTTTCCTTTTGGAAGACCCTCCACATGTATAAAACTGCACAATCTAATTACTCTCATGAGCTTTTTCCAACCAGGCTTACATTTGTGCTCTCAAGAGATCAGATTTCCAGTGGGGGAATAATTTTCAAATATATTCCTGCCTAGAGCAGAGAATCAAGTGAGAAGGGCAAGAAAATATTTACCAACCAATGTGCATGTTGATGAACATATCCACTCACCTTAAAAGCGCTTAGAGCCGACAAAACAACATCCATGCTATCATCACCCAATCGGGATACGATAGCTTCTTTTATGAAACACTCATCGACACTCTCCTGAACGACAGAAAAAAATACTAATTTAGTTGTTCCTAAAACACTAAAAAGGAAGCTTGGTTTTGTGAGAAGCGCTCCAGGACACGGGTCGAGGAGGGCAGGCGCTGCGCCGAGTGGGAACTCAAACACTCTCAGCGCACTGCATGGACGAGACGGCCTCAAAGGGCCTTTCCATTTAGAGGAGTAATTGTCCAGCACAAACCTCTCACAGTTTCCACGGAAAATACAACAGGTATAACCTAAGTATGACTTTTGTACTAAGGAGTCGATCATATTGGAACGAGAGCACCCAGCCCATGGAGGGCACGCGGGCTGCAGCCGCAGCTGTAGCACTTACTAGCGCAGCGTCCACAGGTGAGTCCCCTAACCTTTCTGCCTCACTGCTCTCATCTATAACATACAGCCGATGATACAAAAGGAAAAAGCACACAATCCCTCACAGTAACAGAACAGTAAGACTACTCATCAACCTGAAAATATCCCTACCTGTAGGTAGGGGGTAAAGAAAAACTCTTTAAAAATATAGAAGACAAAAATATTTAAAATATAACCAAAAAACTTATAATTCAAATATTTTCTAAAACTATGAAATTAGTAAAACTCAAATTATGCATTTAATGTGGTAATTATGATTAGCCGAAATTAAATGCTATTGTAATATGACTTGGTTCTAAGTGCCTGACACCAGTTCTAGGACTCAGCAGATTGACACCAGCATGTGCTGTTGGGGAAAGTATAAACCGCCACCACCTTTCTCTATTCGCAATTTTTCAAATGTGCAAAAAGGAATATACAAGACAATTAAAAATATTATACAGATGGACATTCTGTTTTAATCATAGTAACTACAGTAACATGTACATATATAATTAGCACTTCAAATGTATGATGTGAAGACTATGTAAAAAAAAGGAGTCCACTTAAAAGAAGTTAAAGAAAAATTTTAAGGAAATAATTATCAGTGGTAAGCTAACAAAAAATTGTGAAGATACTGTTTGAATAGCTAAAGTTAGGAAATAATGCTCTATTTGAATCACTGCAAAGTCTTTGTAAATTACCATTTTGGTACAAAGGCAGAACTTGCAACTTAAGTTGGCTTTTGTGCTCACTCTTTGGAGCCACCAGAATTTTAAACACAAACACAACTGCAGGTACTGGCAAGTGCTCCAAAAGCTACCATTCTGATGTCCCCAAATACGCTCATGGTAAACGTAAGACAATCAAAAGCAGATTTCAAAAGTAGAGAATTCTCAGATTAACTTCAGAACCTCTCCAAATTGATCTATAAATTCCAGTCTGAAAAACACTGAGCTGGACCCAAACTGATGACCTGCACCATGGAGATGTGAGAACAGTGGCTGCGAGGGCACCCACAGCCCGTCACGGCGGCTGCAGCCTGTCCAGCGCTGGCCCTTGGCCCCGTCTTCTCGCCCACTTTAAACCTGGTCTCTATGATCGCACAGTGCCGACTCCAGGTGCCAACTTCCAGTACTTGCTCTCGAGTTACCCGGCTCCTCATCAGGATACACACGGAACAAATGAAAGCTGACACAAACCTTTGATGTTTCCATGATATTTTTCAGATGATTAACGGCCAGAAGTCTCACAGGTGCAAGTGGATGATTCAGACTGAGCATCAAGGAGGTATCACAATCTGCTAAAAACTATAGAATTCATCACAATTACCACATGATCTCACGAGTAATTTTGAGCAGTATACGATCAAGAATAAAAACCAGAGAAAACCACCTCAGTCTGCCAAACACATTCAGTAACGACTATCTAATTTCAGAAACCAAAAAGGAAACTAATCTTTGTCTCTAGAACATGGTCTGAGTTAGATTAAAAAAAAATCTGTATTGTTAATACTCTGATTTCCTGTATAATTGTGTCTATAGTAGGTTTAATTTAGTAATTCTATAAAGTAATTTTGTATAGTTACAGACATGATTCCAAAGTGAAAAGCATTTGAGGTAAATCACTGTATTAGCACCTCAGTGAAACTTGAAACAGAACGCAGTTCCTCTAAAGGACACAATGGTGACACTCAAGATTAGTAACAACCCACCCAGTTGCCTAAGTAGACTAAGGAAATCTGTACACCACGCTAGGGTTTGGAAATCAAACCCACTAAAGACAAAGTCTCATTAGGAAAGAAAAAAGCAACGACCTTATGTCTCTTCATTATATTTATTTTCAAGGTTATTTATAAGAACTGCTTAGATGTCGAACTTCTAGTATAAAGATTAAGGGTGAATCATCAGAAAATTTCTAAAGTTCTAACATGATCATGAAGTAAAAATCCATGTCTTTTTTCTAATCAATGACTTAAACAGCCATCCATGGTTGGTGGCACCACACTGGAAGGTGAAGAGAAGATAAAGGTAAGGACACCACCAACCTGAGTGAGGCCACCTTTTGGGGACTGCTAATGCATGTCATAGGTAGGTTTCCAAACAACAGTTTTCCTGGAATAAGTACCATATTCACAATTACATAAACTCCTGTTCCTTTCGCCAGGCACCCAATCCTGCCTCCTGGCCTTACCCCAGGTAACTAGGCAGAATTGCGCATAATCTCATCTCTTCATAACACATGCCAAACAAAGAGCCCTAGCCAAGCAGCTCGGCTGGTTAGAGCATTGTTCCAACACACCAAGGTTTGGTCTCTGATCAGGGCACAGACAAGAATCAACCAGTGAATGCAATGTGAGTGGGACAACAAACAGATGTTTCTCTCTGCCTCTCCCCCAACTTGCTTTTTTTCTCTAAAACAAATTTTTAAAAAAGAAAAAGAAAAAAGAAACAAGAAACACGCACTCCAAAGAGACGAGTGATGGAGCAAAAACTTCCTTCCAGAGTTCTTCAAATAACCACATAAACATACCACGAATTGTCTTAATTCCTCTGAAGAAAAACTTACCTGATACTTCCCTCCACTTGTAGAGAGAGAGATAAATTGGTGAAAAAGCTCTTGTTTTTTTAGGTCTGTAATTTGCTTTAGGTGTTCCTCTAAGACGACATCTAATGTTGTGGGATATCTGGGAAGAAATTCAAAGAGTTAATCCATATAGAAAATTACACAAAGTTATTAACCACATATACCTTACATGTATAGAAGACATAAATAAAAAACTTTAAACTACTGAGATTGACACCAGTATTTTAACAGTATAATATGTAAGATCAAGTGATACTGATCAACGGTTACAAGTCATCTATTACAACAACAAAAAAATCTATAAAAACATTACTCTCCACAGTTCCCACACAACCCCTAACTCCTCCTATATTTCAAATACATTTAAATCTTATACCTGGTCTTTCCTGAAAGGGAAAAAAAGACAGTCTCTTTACAATTCGTTTACTATGTTAAATTCAAACAAGAGGTACACATTAACAAAACAAGGCACAAACACACCACTTACTTGCTTTCTAAAAGTCTGATAAGGGGAAGAAACTGTTCATTCAGTAAAGATACTTTAGTAGGATCGATTTCTTCCTGTGAGTTATATGAAATATACTCTTCAAAAAGAAGGCTGCAAAACAAAACCAGTGTCAACAGATGAGAGTAACTGTTCATTGAGTACCTACCAAGCTCTGGGTGGTTTAGGAATATTCTCTCTCTCGAACCACTCCAAGATAGAAAATTACACTTATTTTAAACATACACAACACTAGGGCTAAGAAGTCTTACAACCTGACCCTGACTGGTGTGGTTCAGTGGGCTGGGTGCTGTCCAGCCCATTAACAGGTCACCAGTTCAATTCCTGGTCAGGGCATATGCCTGGGTTGCAGGTTCCTCTCTGGTTAGGGGCATGGGAGAGGCAACCCGACTGGTGTTTCTCTCGTACATCAACATTTCTCTCCCTCTTTCTCCCTCTCTTCCCCCTCTTTAAAAATAAATAAAATCTAGAAAAAAAAAAAGGAACCACATAATCTGCGTGAGGTCAAAGAGACCAGAAACTACTGCTATGCCGGTGAGCGCCACCCGGCCAGGCAGAGATGAGCAGGGCTTTTGGCCCCAGCTGACTCAGAGCCCACGCTCTCAAGTACTCCACCTGTGCAGCCCCTTTTGTTCACAAGCCACGCCTGAGAGCAAGAGGCATGAATGGTGACACCCCGGCAAACAGGCCCCTGCCCAACCCCACGCAAGGGCACACCCAGACCCAGGCCCCCAGCCCGCACAACATCCTGTGCCCTCCCCTGGAAAAGACAAAGGCAGATGCGAGTCCACGTGGGACTGCGATGCCTACCTTCTCTGCACTCTAGCAAGTTGCCTTTTAAGCAAGAAAATGGGAGACTGAATGATTTTTATAGAAAAAGGAAGAAATAATTTTACTTCATGCCAACCCTCAACTGTGAGGTATTGTTTCAGGCCTTTTGGTTCACTTGTTATTAGGAATCTAAACAGTCGCAAATCACACGCAGCTATAACCCAAATTCAGCTTAACTATGAACTGCCCATGATCATGGACAAATGCCAAAGACAAGCAAGAGAAACTACTTTTTCTATTGTTACAATTTCTAAGCTAAGTACTCACAATTAATGAACTGATATGGACAAAGCGAGAAATATAAACAGATACTGAAAAACCCTAAGTAGTATACTAAGCCACAAAATTACAAAACAAAAGCACATTAAAAATAACCACTTACCTGGCCAATAAATGGTCCAAGTTGTTCTTCAGTGACACATGCATGAGTATAGCTTCCAAGTGTTTCCTGTAGATCTGACCATCCACCCCTTCAGTTTCTTCTCCTTAGTACAAACAAACTGAGACTGACTGGGGAAATGATTTCTGCATGCTTACACTATTAAATTTACTTACAGTAGCAAACCTCCCTACAGGAGTAACTTTAAAACGTATACCCTAAATCTTGCTTTTTTAAAATCTATTTTCAAAAGTGTATTTCACCTAGTCATTTATATTTTTCAGAGCACTTTGGCATAGATTACCCTAATTTACCCTTTACCTGAAATTCTCTGTATTTTTCAACACCAGTATGATCCTGCCTACCTCCCTAACAGAACAGAAGTCCAAAAATATGGTTTCCCCCAGGTGACATTATGAGTGGTTAAGTTGGGACCAGAACCAAGATCTCATACAGCTGTCCCCCGCCACCCATGGGGACTGCGTTGAAGAGCCCCAGTGGATTCCTGAAACCCTGATGGTACCGACACTACGTATTGTGTTCTTCCTGTACATACATATCCATGATAAAGTTTAATTTGGACGTCAGGCACAGAAAGAGATCAACAACAGTAACTAATAATACGATAAAACAATTACAATGACATACAGCGATGAGGTACGGAAACGGCGTCTTTCTCTCTCTCAAAATCTCTTTGCCCTGCACTCACTTTTCTTTCTGTGACGGAGAGGACATGAATCCCCTGCATCACTGCTCTTACACTCCTGAGCGCTGTTAAGAGAAATAAGGGGACTTGACCGCTAGCACTGCGCTACCGAGACAGCTGATCTGATGACCAAGGAGTTACTAAGTGACTAACAGGCGGGTCAGTGTCCACAGCGTGGAGACAATGCACAAAGGAACAAATCAGGTCTAGAGAGGGACAGGGCATGACTTCATCAAGCTACTCAGAACCACACACAATTTAAAACTCATGAATCACTCATTTCTGGAATTTTCCATGTACTATTTTCAAACTGTAGTTGACCACAAACAACTGAACTCAACGGGGGGGTGACTGTATCACCGAAAACAGGCTAAATGTTCTTCCCGATACGTCCTTCCTGGACCGAGAGCTGCCACCTTCTACCTCAGACTCCCTGTCAACACAGGAACCAGAATTTGGCCCTGCCTGCAGAGACTGGGGTGACATTCCTCGTCACCCTCAGAACAAGAGAGACGAACTTTCATTTATGCTAGTCCCATTTCTGAAACATATTTAAACCAAGATTTGGTTAAGCAAACCTTATTTTCTAAGAGACTGACTTTTATTTAGAGATGTCTTGCTTAATCCAAGTAGCAATAGGACCAACTAGTTCTCCCTTATCTTTCTGTATTTATTAAAGGATAAAATACATGTAACGCAAGTCAACACTTTCTAATTAACTTTGGGTTTTTATGCATGAGATTTTCTTGGTCTTATATTTTCAATGGCTCAAGGGAGAAAAACTCTTTTTGTTAGCAAATGAATATTTATTATAAATGAAATCACTAAAATTCATTAGTTATCGAAACAAAAAGGGAAGCCCTGGCCAGGTAGCTCAGTTGGTTAGAGCATTGTTCCAACACACTAAGGTTGCGGGATCGATCCCTGGTTGGGACACATAAAAGCAACCAAGGAATGGAGAAGCGGAACAACAAATCAACATTTCTCTCTCTCTCTAAAAAATTAATTAATCAGTTAATCAAATGAGAAGGGGAAGTTTTACTCAATAACTTATTTTTAAAGTAATTCCTTAAACTTTCCTATAGAGACTGTTTAGGAACACATTTTTTAGACAATAGAATTCTGAACATATCAAGGATTCTCTCCAACCAACCTGCTCTTCCCCCTAAAGGTTTCTAAGAAAAATAAATAAATTACACAAAAACAATTGGTTAGAAAAAACTTTAAATATCTTAGACATAAACATGAGTGTGGTTCCTATTTTAAGAGAATCGAGTAACAGAAAACGAGTTTTTGGACACACAATGTAAAGCCACATACCTGTCACATGATTAATGATGGAGACAACCAGATGGGGAAGCATGTAGCGTAGAAGGGGACCGATGTCGTATGTTTCGGAAATCCCACGAAGGACTGTTATGAGGTCAGGAACATTACACAAGTGAGGAAACGGCCTTCGAAGAGACAAGTATATAAGGTGCTGACTTGACAAGTTACACAATAAATGGCAATTTATCTTTAAAAATTACTCAAAATACTTTCTTCCACCTCTAGAGATCATTTCTCAAATCAACTGCACGTACTTTTTCCCTAGACTGTCCGGCTTCTGTCGCTGCAGGAGCACTATCAAGCAGCCTAATCCGTCCTTCACCAGAGAGGGAGTTTTGGTCAGCGTTTTGATGATCTGCGAAGCCAACGAATTGACGACAGTATCTTCCATGGTCACTTTCACGGAAATCTGACATATTATCATGTATGTTGCAGCTCTGTAATCTGGTAAGGATGATTTCAATCCCTAGACGTTTTTTAAAAGATAAGGAAAAATAATGAACTGTATTATTCATTCTACTTAAAATGTTATTTTACCTTGAGAATTAGAAATGCCATAGATCAGAAAGTGGTACTACCAAATGCACGCTCCTCAGAAGGAAAAAAATCAAGATGGTGACCCCTTTCCTGAGCGGTCACAGAAGTCTCTTGGACAACACAGGGTCTCAGGAGGTCCCCCACTCAGACATCTGCCACACATCTTAACAGAAGCCAACGAGCTCCTTTTATATGCCAACTCCCAGGGGTGGGAGAGAGGCCTCCATCAGAAACTGTCCAAGTGAAGACAATGACCATGGGACATGGGTGGGGTGCGAGAGTGGTACCTCCGTGGGGACCCGAGACGTGGCAGGCACTAAGACAACTGGGAGAAGAAATACTGAGCAGAAGTCAGTGCAAAACTGATGACGAGAGCCTGTGCCCCAAAGATTCTCTAACCCATTTTCTGTCCAGTGAGGTGACAGGATGGCTAATCGAGACCTGGAAGGGAAGACCACCATGTGAAGATGGGCAGAAGCCGGGGCTGCGCTACGAGGCAGGGAGTGCCAAGGGCCGCTGGGAGAGGGGCCTGGAATTCTCCTCAGAGGCCCCGGGAATCACCCCTGCTGACACCCTGACTTCAGACTTCTAACCTCCAGAACTGTGAGAGACTAAAGTTCTCTTGTTTAACACCCCTCAAAAGAATAAAAACAATCTAGGAGACAATTAGCCAAAATTTATTCTTTAAGAAGCTCTAATTAAGATTCTACTCTGGTAAGTTTTTAAGATGAAAAGAGCTGTACTTTTTTTTACTGAAAAATTAAATCTCATCAACCATCTGCATTGTCCATTTTAGAACATTTATGTCCAAGTTAAATATTTAAAAGCAAAGACATTCCTTCAAGTGCAAAATAACCTACTATACTTGAGTAGAGCCAACCTTTTGGACATATGGAAATAGCTTAGCAACCACACTGTCTGATATGTCCTCGGCAGCCACCAAAGCAGACACGATGGTAGAAGCATAGAAGGTTAAGAGAACCCTCAGCCGAGCGGAGCTCCCAGGATGCTCAGCAAAAACCTGGAACGAAAGCACAAGCAAGACACATTTAAGAGTGAAAGGCCAATTAATAAAAGCATAAAAATATTTACAGTTCTCGATGGCCTCAGGCTGACATCTTAATTTTTACCATTTGCAACATGAACACACAAATCCAGGGGTTCAATTACAGATGACAAGAATGAATGAACAATCTTTTTGATATTTTTAGACTGTCTTTTTTAAACCATTTAAACGATCACTACGAATGGAATTTGGCGAGGACTGATGCAGTTTTGCACAACAGAAAACACCTCTGGTGATCAGAGACCGATCCCACGCTCGTGCTCCTGAACCGCTCGCTCACCCTGCTGCCGCTCACCTTGCTGCCCTCCTCCAGTGCCACTGTCACCAGGGAAGGGCCAGTGCGTCTGCTCTACTCAGAGCCAGCTGTCTTCTACAGGGACTATACATCCACAGAACAACGCACTACTCACCTTCACAGACTTCGTTACCAGGCTACAAATGAAATCCATGAACCCGAGATCTCTGTAGCAGTGGGTGACCAAGGTCCCCCTGGCCAAGGGCACTCCAGATTGCTGTCAGAGACAGAAAGCACAGGCATCCACGGGTCACTACTCTCAAAGCACCCACCACAGCAGCAGCAGCAGCTCTATGCTGCTGCTGTTCGTAAGTACGAAGCACAGTCTCTCCCGACAACTGGTAGGTAACAGAGATGAGGTTAACAGCTAAAACTGTGCACACCTTAGAAATTCAAGAGCATGTCAGCAATGAGGGTGGTGGCACTCAGTGAAAAATGCCCACTTCTCATCAGCACCTCAATGTGTGTTTACCTAAATCTGAAAATTCTCTAGATTCTTAGTAACCCTGGCAGCTAGTTTTGGTTTTTGAGCCCCTGTTAATATGGTTTCATCACTGCTTTGCAGTAATTCTGGCAATAAATAACTCTAGGCACTGGCCCCTTTATACTGCTACTCCCACCGCCTAGCAATGTGCACGGTGAGTATCAGTGCAACAGGGAATGTGAGGCAAACCGTAACAGGTGACCTCCAGGTGTGGAGACGGGAAACAAATACAACTAGAGAGCAGCAGGTCTGCGTGCAGGCCAGGGGAAAATGACCTTCCCGTCAGCCGCATGAATGTCCTGTAGCTGGATAAGAAGCTTCATCATAGGCTGGCCTTTTCTTGTTGAACGTTAACAGTTCATGTGCTTTACATTCAAACTCCTAAATTCTCCTCCTTAAAATCTCCCATTCGTTTCTTATTAATAACTCAGGTCACTGATCTCACTGTCATAACCCACACAGGTAAACTCTGCCCAGTCAAACCATCTGGTAGCCCACTGTTGTCCCTATCTGTCCTCATCCTAGCTTGAATCCCTATACCCAAAGTTCAGTAAAATTCCTGACATACATCCACTTTCCTCTGTTATATGCTGCAAAGTGAAAATGGCAAATCAGCTGTTTTACTACCAAATCACACTACCTAATCTTAGTCAAACCCACCCTGTAATGCAACCACCTTTTTATTCACCTCTAAATGAATTCCTAGCATCTTCCTTACTTTAGTAATTCCCAAAGTCCTTCAAGTTTTCCTTATCTTTCCAATTTTCATTATTTCCTGCTTTTCTTCACCTCCAACATTTTTTAAGCTTTTCGATTCCAAAATTTAAAATACCAGACAGTATAAGATAGCGAAAAGATATAAGCTTTAAAATCTGATTGGAATTCAAATCCCAACTTCACCCTTTATAGTTATGTTAACTCTGGCAGGAATTTAATTGTCTGACCATGTCCTTATCTGAAAAAGTGGAGTTCTGTGATGAAACTCCTAGACAATACATGTAAAGGGCCTCGCTTGATTATTAGGTACAAGTAAAAGCCAGCTGCTACCCACTAACGGTTTAAACTGGAAGTCAGGAAATAAAAGTGATGGAGGTAATACTTGGGACTACCCTTGGAAGCACTGACTTTATTCTTTCCAAACTGTATCTCTTAATCAAGATCTGTAATGATTACACATGTGTGTCACTCAACCATCATACCTTAACTGGCAGCAACCAGAACCATTTGTGCTTTGAATTATTAATTTTCAGAAGCTGTATAACCCGCACAAATATTCTTGTTTCATGGTATGGCAGAACACAAGCAATGAGGCTATCTTGATTATAAAGATGGATGTGGAACCTGGGGAAAAAAAGCAAAGAATGCAAACTGACACAAACTTTACGAGCATACATTCCGTTGGCCAAAAACAATGTTTTTTGTTGTTGTTGCACAATGGCTCTAGCAGTGCTTAGTTGTCTTTAACTTCACTCCAAACAATTTTGTTAGACTGTATTGTGACAGCTATCATATTCCCGTGTACTTTTTAAAAAACATTAAAATTGGTGAAATTTTGTGCAGCCATTTAATACTGAAGATGGAAGAAGATACACAACATTTTCAGCATACTATGCTTCCTTTTTTCAAAAAAGGTAAAAATGCAACTGAAAATACAAAAAAAGGTTTGTACAGTATATGGAAAGGGTGCTGTTACTGGTCAGACATGTCAAAAGCGGTTTATGAAGTTTCTTGGTATATTTTGCCAAATAGTTCTTTGCTGTGGGGCTGTCTTATGCACTGGAAGATGTTTAGCAGCACCTGTGTCCTCTACCTACTATTTTGGCCAATAGTGGGAGACAGCCAACATACCCAAAATATCCCAAGAAAGTTATTGGTAAAAATGAAAAATGTATCTTTTACTTTATAGAAAAAAAGTAACAATTTTTCCTTACATGTCCAAATCATATTATCAATGAGCTAAAACTAGTTCAAATGAATATCAGTAAAAACAACCCCATAACTACAGGACACAGAGGAGTTAAAACAGAAGCTCTCTATTTTGTATTAAAGTACTCAGCAGGGTACTGCCAATTCTTGTGCAGCAATGTTTTCAAAATTTGATATCAAAGTTTATATCCCACTGACTTTCCACTCTGTCTCAACCTATCGTCATATCAACGTGACTGTGGGACCACCGCGGTCAAAGCAATGGAGAAACGCACGGCCCATAGGCGACCCACTTCCGCTCCTCCTCTGCTCTGAAGTGCACCTTTCCAGCTTCCTTAATTATAATTCGAAAACCAAACCACTAATTAAAGACAGCCACGTTACTTTCTTTGAATAAAAAATAAGTTGCCAAACTACAACCCTATATAATTTGTCCACGAACTTTCACAAAACTCTGTATGGGTCCCTCCATCCTAATAAAAAACTAACAGTCATTAGTTCTATCACATACATTAAATCCTTTCTAGCCTTCAACGCCTAGCTCCAAAGCCTCCTCTCCAAAGGTGCTTTTCCTCACTCCCCCAGCCAAGTGACCCCTCATACCTGTCTAAACCCTCCCATTCTTTTATCTGTATCTTTCCCAGCATATCATACCACTCTGCCTTTTTTAGTTTTATGTGTAGCTTTATATGAGGCAAGACGTCACTTTGTCCACTAAGCTTTCCCCAACTAGTTTAGGCAGCCCTAGGGGCCGCAAACTTGGCATACACTTTTTTTTTTAATAAACTCATTTCTGTATTGTCTGAATGTCTGAAATAGAGTCTACTTTTAAATTTTGGAGAAATGAAAGGGTACCAAATAGGGGAGAAGGGACTACACTTTGTGTTCTCATGCAGAGGAAGAAGGAAGAGTGTGACTGGCCTCAGGCGGTGAAGGAGAGGAGACAGAGATGCAGCCTCAGTTTAGGTCCTTAAAGAGGGTCCGAGTCTCTTTAAGGATCCTACTACAGTGTAGTGCACACCCTCAGACTCCCGGGAACTTCAAAACAGATACAGTTCTTTCCATAAGTGCTTTTTTAAAAAAAGTATTCAGTTCCCTAAATACTATATCCAACAGTTTCACGGAAAAAAGTCCAAAAATAGAGATAAAAATGACCATGACTACCGCTCAATCCAAACTCTACTTTCATTCCAGTTTTATCTTCTTTTCTTTCTTGAAATCTCTGCCCCCATTTTTCTTCCCCAGTTCTGAAACTTAAGTAGTAGCATTCTCTACATATCACTGTGCAATTTCCCTTTTTCGTGAAACGATTATGTCTAGGAGACCTATCACCACAAACAGAACTTCATTTTTAATTTCATGATGTAGACCGATACACTGTGATGTTTTGCAGCTTAAACATTCCCTTATGCTTTTCCAATGTTTCACTATCAGAATGATGTACTGATATCCTTATAACAGAAACAGTAACAATTACATTTAGTGAGGAATAATCTGCATACACCTTTTACCAAGGGCAGCCTAGTCATCTCTGTATCGAACTTAATGTTACATGGCTACATGTTATAAATGGAGAACCAAGTGCAAAAAGTGCTCCAAGAAGAATTGGTCTATGAGGGGGCGGGGGGATGAAATGCTAGAAGACAGAGGAGAATATTACAGGCTTGATTCTTTTTTGTCTTTGAATCTAATGTTCTTATGACCAGAAGACCCCGGTTAAAATTATGTTTTCTCAATGCTCACTTGCTCCCTGAAGGTAAGTCACTTTACCACCATGTCTCCAATGAATGAATTGGAAATCTTTCTTCTCTTACAACATACATACAGAAGAATAAACAAAGATGTATAATAAACTGTGATGTGATACTAGTAAGTGAGAAAATAAAACTGAGTACACTTATGGAGACAATCCCCGAAGTACACGGAACATCAGACTTGGAAACAAACTCATATCTCAGCATACTAGGTGTGTGACTTAGGCCACTTAAACCCTCTATGCCTCAGTTTTCTCAGTTACAAAATGGTGACAAGACAGTACAAGTCCCACACGAATGATGTGACTATTGAGATAACACACACAAAATGTGCAACATGGGGCTTAGTGTATAAATGGTCAGTACATTTATACTAGTCCCCTCTTCCCAAACCACTGATTTTGTTACTCTGGCAACAAAGAAGTTTAGTAATTCCCTTTGCCCCAAATACGCAGTGATAATTGGTAATGGCAAAGTGACATAAGCCTCTTAGAACTAATGAGGCTGGACCTCAAGATCTCCAGCAGTCCTCTCTTTCATTCTTAACACAAGTGAGTTCAGTGGCAGAAAGGCACACTCATTTGTGCCTCTTACCTCATCTCCTGATGTCATATTGATCCTCTTACCTGATTTTTCAGCCTTAAATTGACAAATGTTGTCATTACTTAATTATTTTAAGAAGATCAAAGTTGTTAGCCCATAATTATTCCTGTCATTTCATTTGCTACCTGTGAATCAACCACTCCAGACACTTCTGTGCTGGCTTCAACAGGAAGTAAGGTGACAGGTGAATAAGGAATAATGAAATGTTTTCATCCAGCTGTTTGTTCACTGCTTTGGTCTGAACGCTGCGCTCCAAGGTTTTTGCCAGCTGGCTGAATAGCGGGGCTTCAAACTGCTCAAAGGAAGGATCGATTCCAAGCAGCTCTTCCAGGCCAGTGCATCCTAGGAAAAGGCCAGCTCATTTAACAATTCATTGCAAGAAAATTCCTCTTACACCTTCTACAGTTTGACTTACCCCCTAAAAGATAAAAGCTGAGTTCTTTTAGCATATATCTTGTAATCTGTAATACAGTCCCGAACACAGGTTTCTAACTTTCAACTACAAAAAAAAAATAGTATTACACCAACTAGGGGAACAACAAGTACTCCCTGGCAGGGCTGTTCTTTTGTTTTTTGTAAATACCCCTACAAAAAACTATGCCAGCCCTCTGGAAAGAGGGCTCCTCTGGCGCCTGTGGATGTCATCCTCCCTTCTGTGCCTCAGAGTCTAATGATTAGAGGACCGCCCTAACCTTGCAGCCTCATTCACGAGGCTGTGTGCTGCGACTTACACACATTTCAAGAATCTAGCACATGGCTGTCATTCTCTTTCCCTAACAACGTCAGCCAACAAGTTAGAAACTGCTAAGGGAGCGGGCACATCAGAACAGAAAACAAGAAAGTACAGCAACAGCCAGAAAACAAACGTTTCAAAAATCTTCCTAAAAGATAGCTCACCAATGGCAAAGGCAGTGTCCCTGTCGATGGTGGCCGCTTCCTTGGGGTCAAACAACAGAGAAGCAACTTCATCTCTAGATAAGAGGCTGGGGTCACTCTGAGGGAGGGCGAGTCGCTGGAGCTGCTGGGCTAAGGACGTCATCTTTCAGCCGGTGGGTTTCTGAAACTCGGGCTAGGAAACACACGACCAAAAGCTCTACGAAACTGTCAGTCTAGTTACATCCCGCTTAAGCGAAAGCGGCAAATGCCTCACGCACAAGCAGCTTTGCACCGCACCGGCGCCGCCGTGGACACGAACCCGCTGCCCCGGACGGACAGAATGAAGAACCCGCAGGCTCTGCGGGTGCCGACACCAAAGCCACGGGGTCTTCTGGTTACTGCGGCTCCCCGACCGCACCCGCGCCTCGGCTCCCCCAGCCCGGCTCCGCAGACCCGAAAGCCCGCGGACGCCGCACCCCGCCGTGGTCCATACCGGCCCACAACGCCTACTCACCGGAGCGCGACTTGGGCAGGACTTAACACCCAAACCCTTCTTGCCGGGTCCACATGGAAGCCCAGACCGGCTTTCCACCGGAAATCTAGAGCACGCCTTGGGGCAGCTTCCGGTCCCGGGCACTACGGCGAGAGAAACGGTACAACTCGGCGGCGGGGTAAAAACAATGGCTCCGCCTCCTTGCTGCGAAGCCCCGCCTTCGTGGGCCGTACTTCCGGCTGCGGACACCGCCCTGCGGAGGGGGGCGTCGGAAAGTTCGGGTCTCTGGGTTCGCTAGTGTGAGCGGTACCGTGGGCGTCCGTCACTCAACGTGAGTCCCGGAGGTGAGACGCTGTATGGGCGCGGGCGTCGCCGTCCCAGGCCCGGCCGTCCCGCCACCGCTGTGCACCTCGGAGGTTTCCCTTCTATTAAACGTACCCTGTTGAGATATAATTTACGAATTGATTTACCCACGTCAGCCTAATGATAGTTCATGAGTTTTAACAGACCACGTCGGTGTAATACAGTCGCCGCAGCCAAGACATAGGCAGTTTCCGTGGCCGCCCAGTTCCTCTGCCCCGGTGCCCCCGCGTCACCAAGTTAATGCCGCTGAGAGGTCCCGCGTGGCTGTGCACTGTCTCCCCACGCAGGGTGCTGCGTGCTCAAAACAACCAGAACTTCCAGTGATTCTACAGATCGTTCACCTCCTTCTCTGTCTTGCAGAGGAACATGTTATTTAAAGTTCTGGTATCTGTTTCACCCTCCTAATGTGTCAAAGGACTTTTACCTCCACAAAAGCAATTAGCTTTGGGAGAAATGAAGGTAGGAAATGAAAACCAGGCCTATTTTATCCTTGAGACATACTTGCTTTTTTGCCTTGAAAAGAGCTTCAATATGGTTTCAAAAGCTTTCTCAAAGTGAAAATAAAAAACAAACACCCTCCGGACATTTGATTGAATCCTTTCTACGCCAGTTTCGATGGAATTTGGCGTCACACGGAATTTTACTTTAGAAGTAAACATATAGTTTCTAAGCCAGGAGGAAGCAAGCCAGAGATTCAAAAAAATATTTTTAAGTTTTGATGTAAAAATATACACCATGATCTTGAATTATATGTTTTTCTTCATTTTAAAATAATTCTTTGGATCTGTTCCTGTTTTCTGATTATCACCTTTTCTGATTATCTGATTATTCATTCAATCTAGGACTGCGGCAAACTTACTTTCTCAGTTGTTTGAATGTAAAATATCAATTGTAGATCAGATGTGGCTGTGAGTCTAATAGTCCTTCTCATGCCTTTTGCTATTTTACATTATTGGACCCATAATTTTAGCTGTAACCGATACATATTTCTTGACTCAAGGACATTGTTTCCCAGGTGGTATTTTAACCACATGTTCTTTTGCCTATGGTGACGCTGTGCCCATACCTGTGCCTAGGGCCCCAGGTGGCTGCTAGGGCCACTGGGCTGCTATGGAGAGAGGGGATGAACAAATGGGGCAGGCTTGTGTTAGGAAAAGAGTGAGAGCAAGAGTGAGCTCATTGTTAAACTTGGGTTATATTATTATCTTGGGTTTGGGAAGGACCAGGTGCCTTTTCAAAATCACCAATCAATGTCCCAATCATTTACAGGCTTGTGTTGGGTCTTCCCTCTAACACAAGAGTCTAGATCTATTTTCTTGACTCTCCGGGGTTCTGTGTTCCTTATCTGATCCTTTTCCCAGGCTAGACTCCACTCGTGGTCCCCATCTTAGTTCCTACTGACTTGCCTCAAAGTGGAAGCACCTTCCTCAAGCCATTTTGGCTTCCGTTGCACAGGTGCTTTCTGTTCATCCTCTGTAATGAGCCTCCTGCCTGGTTAAGGGGATTAGATCCCAAGCCCAGAGAATGCCCTGGGGGATGTGTGAAGCTATAACTTCCTAGTGAAACAGGCTTATGCTCCCTTGTTGATTAAGCTTAGTAATGTCTCACTCGCTTTGCTCCCCTCCTTTATCAATATATAGCTACTGACACTAACATTATCACCCAAAATTATAACTATCTTTCTGGTTACTTTGAAATAACTGGCAGGGAGCTGGGAGTTGAAAAACTGATTTGGAAATCCATCTGAGCAAATGTCTGCGTTACCTCTGGGAGCCAGCAGATGGCACTTAAGCATTTCCTGATCCCCAGTGGCCCCAGCAGTGTCCCAGAGACCTCATTGGAGCAAGTTTTCAAACTTCGAAAATTTGAAAACTGTGTACAATTATGTAAAAATTGGATCATTAGACCTTCCACATGTTACATAATGCAATAAAATAATGCTTTTAAGTGTTGTTTAGAGAATCAAATTTCAAACGTTCAGATTTTCCTAGCTAATGAGACATTTGGAATAAGTCATCTGTTTAATGAGTACACTAAATTGTAGGTATGAGTAGCCTGAATCCCTCCCCCATCCACCTCATTCTGAGTTAATTTCCATTGAATATTTGCTGCTGTGGGGAGTTCTGTGTTGACCAAGGTAACGATGAAGTAGAGAACTGGGAAAGCCAGTGAGACACTATTAATAGGAATATAATGGCAAAAAATGATCAGAAAATCCAGGAAACTTTTGGGTGGGGGCAGTATAGGACTTGGCTCTAGGTGAGCAGGATTTGAAGAAGAACTTAGGAGTAGAGAAAGGGATAAATTAAAGCTCCTGTGTGCGATATTAGACAGATAGAAAGCAAATAGAAAAAATAAAAGTTTTTATTTTGTGTGACATTTGGATTCTTGCTTTGGTATACTTAAAAGACTCATACAAAGATTCCAACTCACTATAAGTTCTATTTGAGAGCCAGACTAATGCTTCTTGTGTAATTCGATGCTGTAGCTGCTTTAAAGACCCAGTAGGCAAGTCTAGTTTTATGTGGGTTATTTAAGTGTTATAAGCAAAAGAGACAAAAGTACCATTATTTCCTAGTCACATGATTATATATACCTAGGAAAGCCAAGGATTCAGTTCTATGAAACAACTGCATATAGTGTGAATTGCAGGAAACTAGACAGGTACAAATTATACACACAGACACATTCATGGGGCATCAGTAACATTTTATGTGTAATTGTGGGGAAACACAAGATAAAGTCCAATTTCCACTACACACACAAAGTGCTTGAGAGTAAACTTAAATTTATAAGCCTTTTGTGGAGAGTGTAAAACCTTACGGAAAATTAAATAAAAAATCTGAATGAGTGGAAAAGATTGATAAATATATATGTTCCTGGATAGGAAAAAAAATAAAGAAAATGTCCATGTGCCATCCCCAGGTTAATTTACATATTCAATTTAATCTTTAAAAATTCTAAAATGGTTTAATTTGACAAAAATGTTTCTTAAATGAATATAAAAAACAAGTATAATAGAATACATTTAAAAATTCTCAGAGGGACACAGCAGAAAATATATAATAGAGGAGACTAGCATAATCAAATATTAAAAATAAATGACAAAGCAGCTACAGGTCAAAGAATATAGCCTGGAGCAAAAGTATCGCCAATCCCAAAAAGCTAATCCAGAAACAGACCCCAGTATATGTGAGTATTTAACACAATACAAGGTAAATACAGAAAACAATCAGGGGAGAAAATACCTACCAATCAATGCTGGGGTGAGTAATTGGAATGGAATTTTAAAAAATCAAAATAGATATTCACCTTAATTTATACTCAAGAATGGATTCCAGAATACCTACAGAAATTGGTCCCAGAATGGAGTGACAGACTGTTACCCCACCACCAATGGAAACAATTGAAACACAGACAAAATGTGTGACACAATGGTTTTCAGGACACTGTATCAGCAACTAAGTTCCCAGTGATCCCAGAGGGATATGAAGTCCATTAGTGCCTGGCGGTCTCCTGGCCTCGGCCCAAGGAGAGGAAACCCAGCAGAGCACGGAGTAGAAGAAGTGGAGCTAAGAGTCCAGGAGAACAGGGTGGCCAGAGTTGCGGGACAGAGAACTAAACAAGGGACAGCTCTGAGGACCTGCAGAGGGTCCCCCTGGAGTACCAGGCAGGCATGTTTATAAGGAAACTACATAAAGCTGAGGAAAGAACCATCTGCAAAGGTTAGAGGGAACACCACCTGCATTCCCACAGGGCGGGTACCTGTTCCCACCATGAGGTCTCATTCATAGGGGGGGTCTTGCCCCAGAAGTGGGGACTAACTGGCCCCAACCCAGCACAGTCCAGTCCCTGACACATCTCAACAGCAGGATAAGAAAGATAAAACTCTCCAAGTGACCTAACCACACTCCAGAGCAAAATTCAGCAGTGTCTGAAGGAATACAGAAACATCCAGCACCCACAAGGTGGATTCCACAATGTCTGGCATCCAATGAAAAATCACAAGATATGCACAGAAGGAACTAAATACAAAACATCATGAGATGAAACATAAGTTGAAACAGACCCAGAACTAATACAGATGTTAGAATCCACAGACAAGGACAATAAACAATTGTTCTAACTATGCACCATATATTTAAAAGTTAATAGAGACAGAATTTTTTTAAAGACTCACATTGAACCACCAAAGAGAAAAACTACAGTGTGTGAGGTGAAAAATAAACTTCATGGATTGGTGGCCAAGTTGCTACCACAGAGGAAAAGATCAGTAAACTGGAAGGCACAGCAGCAGACACTGTCCAGAGAAAAAGAGGATTTTTAAAAATGAACAAGGCATCATCACACAGCCATGGGACAACTTTGTGTGTTCTAGAGTGTTTGCAATTGGAGTCCCCAAAAGAAGGGCCAGACAGAAAATAATGGAAGAAAAACTGTGAATCAATAGATCCAGGAAACTGAGTAAATACCCACACAAGGAAAGGGAGGAAATGACACCAAATTTCATCATAATCAAAATGCTAAAAAGTATATAAGAACTGAAATAGTAGAAAAAACAGGAAATCATAGAATTGCATCCTTATTAATTTGGGGGAGAAGTCTCAGAAAAAAGTTATTGAGGAAAAGATCGGCAGCTCTAAGTATGTATAAACCACAAATTCAAGTACAATATCTTGTGCCTTTTTAAATCATGCATAAACAAACTTGAAAGACAACAGTGAAAAATGACAATATAGAAGATAAAAGAATGACATGTATGTATAT